GAAGCACTAGTGACAAGACACACACAGGGACAAACCTTACAGACCAAGCTCTCAGTACATGGGAAGTCTCCTTGCTACATTCAAGTCAGAGTGCTTAGAGAAAAGCAAGCCATCTCTGTCAGCCAAGCCCATTGCTAAGGATTCAGATCTAAGTCTATAGCTAGACTATTCCTGAGATTTTTCTGTAAAATAGTTGCAATAATCCTGCAAAACAAGGCCAACACACCCCTATGTATTGTTGAAAAGCTGAGTAGCTGAGTATATGCTTTTCCTATTTAGCAGGCAATTTTATTTTTTAAAATACAAGAAATCTCGGTGATAAACACCCACAGGTTGATTGTGCTTCCTTGCTACCTTGGCCTAGGAACTTTAGAAACCGAACATACATACTGCTTTGCTATAGCCTGCTTCAGGACACCTTACACCAGGTCTGTTCACAGCCATATAACCCTATCTCTTCGACTAAGCCCCAGTACTTATGGACTATCGGGGACAGGAAGGGAGGGGTAGGGGCGGAAGGGGAGAAGAAACAGAAGAAAATAAAGAAAAAGAACAACGTAATTCAGCAAACACAACACTAGATATTTTCCCCCCCTTCTCTGACGGCGGTCACCTTTCCCTGGACCCCGCGTTTACTGTAATTTATTATCATACTGATGCAGTGCCTGAAACGCCGACCGCTCGCTACAGTAGTGAAACAAGTACCGTAGCTGCAAAAAAAACCAGCAAACTGCCACAGACCCAGGCACGGAGCTCCCGAACAACACCGCCAGCAACAGCCAGCTCTGCCCCGAGAGCGCGGCACGGACCCGGGCCGGCCCCGCCGCGCTGCCCCGGCACTCGCCCGGCGGGGCTGGCGGCCCGTGGCTGCCGGCGGGGCTCGGCCCGCAGCAGCGCCCGCACACGGCCGGGCGTGGGGCACGGGGGCACGGGGGCTGCTCACCTGCATGGTGCCGGCGGGGCCGGGCCGGGCCGGGCCGGGCCGGGCAGCGGCGCTGGGCAGGGCCGGGCAGGGCCGGTCCCGGCGTGCGCGGCGCGGCCGGAGGAGGCGGCGCTGCCGGCGGGGCGGGCCCAGCGCCGCCGCCGCTGCCCGCACCGCCTAATAAGGATGGGCCCGGCGGTGGGAAGGGTGACGGAGCGGTTTGGGTTGAAAGGCATGAGAAGATCGTAAATCCCCCTGCCGTGGGGATTCACGCCTTCCCGTAAACCAGGTTGCTCCATCAAGCCTGACACAGAGTAACCACGCTTGAGCAGGGAGGTTGGACAGGTGGCTCACTGTGGTCCCTTCCAGTCTCTTTCTGTGATTCCCTGTAACTTTTGTTTCCACTGACCCTTTTTTGTCTGTTTGTATTTCATACCCTGCTTTATTTCCCCACTTGGTAATCTTCTTATTTTCTTTCCCTAATGTGCTAAAAAATAAAATAAAATAAGCAATCAAGCCTGTATTATCTATTCTTATTAGGCATAATCAGCTATAATACTTGTAGTATTATTAGGATTGGATCATAGCCAACTGATATTACCAGAAATTTGTCTCTTGATAGTTACTTTTATTTCAGTTTTGAGTCTGTGTTAAAATATCACTCAGAAAACACTGAAAAGTGTGTTGCATGTGGTGACCCAAATCCATTTGGGATCCCACCCTATTCCATATTGTTATAAATAAAGTTCTATATGTCTAATTTAATAAACAACAAAATTTAATTTAGCAGTAATTTTAATTGAACTCCAATTTTTTAGAAATGAATACAATCAAGTATGTTCAATATAATCAAGCATATACAAAAAAAAAAAAAGGGAGTGATGAATTAAGTATGATTAAGGTTCATATAAAGCATAAGCAAAACCAACCGGGGTACAGGGAGGGCTTCTCACCCTGCCTCACCTATGAAACAAAGGAATCCAAACTGAACTTATATACTGTATGCTAATACATATTCATCAATATTTTTCTCTAAATCTCCTATTTTCATTTCTTGAAATCAACGTCACTACACTGCATGGTGCATGCTCCACTTGTTGTTAGGGGGTCTCCTGGCTTTTTGGTGGTCTTTTCAGAGGAAGGCTTGCTGTCTTCCTCACTGTCCTCTGAATAACCTTACAGGTTACACATGTGCACTAAGCTTTGTGCTACGTCAGTAAGCATTATATGCCAAATCAGTCTTATTATTTCAAAGATAAAACCACAACTTAGATTCCATATCTGGAATCATCCCAACTTTGCTCATCCCAAGGCTGATTCTGCTTTGGGAGTCATCCCAACTTTGTTCATCCCAAGGCCAATTTTTTTTTTGGGATCTTGCTTATCTCAATACTACATCCTGTATCCTGTTTTTCACACCTAACATCCATGAAGGGGCCCATCTGCTTTTCCTCTATTACTTTATAACAATTATTGATATAGCTACAATTTAGTTAGCATGAATCATATCCATTTATCACAATACAAACAGGCACCTAGGCCTGCCCTTTTGAAGAACTGAGCAGATCTTTTCAGCGCTTTTCCAAGAGACATAGCAGAGGGAAGAGACCTGCTCCTGCCTCCCTCCCCTCCTTTTATGCTCTAAAATGGAGCAATGGACAGCATGCTTACCCAGATCTCAGTCCCCATAAAAGAGCCCTAGCCAGGAGGTCTTAAGAGTGTGTTTGAACATGTGGAGGAAGGACTGTCTCAGCTCTGGCAAGGGCCTGAAATGAAAATTTAAAAGCCCCACTTCCACATGTATAAGATTGTGGCCATCCCATTAACAGCCAGTTATTCTGAAGCGGACTGGCCACTTTCCCTGAGCTAAGTCCAGGTTACTGAAGGGAAGGCACAGACACCTTTTCTGTCTCTGAGTTAGGAGAAATGGACAGCTGTGCTTTGAGAGGACATCAGTCCTTATGGCGAGCATTTGGACGTGCAGAGGGTACCCCATACTGGTTGTTCAATGCCCTGAGGTGGCAGGAAACTCAACCTCACTCAGCATAGACTAAATGCTTGTCCATGTAAGAAAAGTGGGCGGGTGCCACAAATGCAGATGCTGTGAAGCTGTGACCCGCATCTGGTGTCTGACGGGCAGAACCAAAGGCTGAACCGTTCATGACAGTTTTGTTGTCTGAGTATTTTGCCAGAGCCTGGGCTTCTGGGAGTACCCTCTGGTTTAAATGGTCATCTTCTGTGGCTGAAATATCATTCACACCCATGGCTCTTGTATGTTGCTGGTTGGAAACTCCTTTGAATGCCAGAAAACAAACACAGAAAGAGCATGAGCAAGAAGTGAGCACTCATTTCTTTAAAGGCTGCTCAAAAATATTCCTTTACCTGAGGTGAGGTTTTTGCTCAGGCGAACGAAGAGGAACTAACCAAGCACCCTCAGCACCAGAACCACAATAAACTCTGAGCCCCATCTGGGACAGACTTACCAGAAAAGGGAGCAGCCCCATCACATCATTTGGTGGGGCTCAGACACAATGTGAACCAAGCATGACTCTACTCAGGACACATCTAAAGCAAAACAGAGTTTCCTCCTCCCACCCAACTAAAAATATTTTTACAAAGCCCATTTTCCTTATGTACTTTTTAAAGCAAGCTTCAGCAGAAAAAAAGAAAGGCTGTTTTTACACATAGCACGCAGACAGAAATACTCCAACCAGAGTGTGTGAGAACTGGCAGTGTCATAGTGAGGCTGAGATGTAGCTATGGCTCAGCCCTTGCAGACAGCCTGCCTTCTTCCCCCTCACCCCAGCCAATTTGCTTCTGAGCAGCTGTAATGTATTTCTTCATTTTGCCCCAAATCAGGGATTAGGTGAAGGAAGATGAAGCATGTGTGTAAATGACTCATTAATTATCCAGGTGATGCAGTGATGAGAACAAAAAGTTGGTAATAAAAAGGTTCTGGGCCTGAGGTAGAGGTGTTATGTGGCTTCTTTGTGCTTGAGTGTAGATTGTAGTAAGGTACAGGCTAGGACAAAATAAGAATTTTTGAAGGTAATGTGATGTACTTTTCATTTATGATGCATTGGGGAAAATTTGGGGTTGTGGACTTCATGTTATTTTGTAAGTTAGCTGCCTGTATTACACAGTATGACTGTACTGTGAATAATTTAGAAAAAGTATTGTCTGGTAATAGGGATAAGGAGTTATAAGGAAGGACTTTGCTTTGATTTTATTAGGAGCTGGGTTTTTTAAGTTTTACTATTTTTTCACCTTCTTTTCAAAGCTCATTCTGATTTTTCTTAGATAATTAAATCTCTTAGTAAAACCCCTACATGTTAATGTAGTGATGGGTGGTTTTGTATGTTGTAGTCAGCTGTACTGGAAGTTAACAGCCCCATTTACTTATGGAATAGAAATGTTATAAATAAGTAGTTTTGCTACTCCAGTTGCAGGAATGTCCTAGATGGGCTGAATTTCCTTCATCATGAGGTGGTAATTTCTTTTCTTCAGTCTGCATAGTGCTGTCCAAATAAATTTATCCTTTTCCTGGTACAGAAGACCTCCAGTAGTATTCTCAAAGAAGCCAGAGAATACCATTTAGGGAATTAATTTAAAGCAGTATGAAATGTGTGAAAATATCCTGAAGTATTTTGGGTATAACAAGCTCTAGGCTGCAAGAATTTTTCCATTTTTAGATTTGAAATGAAGGGAAGTTGTAACTTGATAGTAGAAGTTGTAATGTAGATTGCTCTTGAAGGAAGAGACAGGCCTCAAGTTAGCTTTGAGGTAACAGTTGTGGTGTTTAAAAAAAATCTTGCTGAAGAAAACCCACTGTGCCTCAACCCTAAATACGATCCAAGTAGCAGGGGAAGCTTGTCTTCTTTTGAGCCCTTCATATTTAACTTCAATAACCCTTGACAGGTTTTGCAATGAGATCCTTCTCCTAAAAGGCAGGCTGTAAAAGGGCAATAACTGTTAAAATTTTAGCTCTGCTGTTGATGAACTGTGGTGTGTGGTGAGCTTTTTCCTCAAGAAAAGAATGAGCTTTCTCCTTGATGTGGAAGAGCAGCACTGACCTTGCTGTTGCCTCCTCTTGCTATCCATTAGCTGTAGCCCAAGCACCCAAGTGTTTTGAAACCCTCCAGCACTCTGTGTCTCCTCGCCTGTCAGAATGTCTGGATGTGGAAAGAAACAAGCAGTGGCTGGCAGCCCTGGAAGTGGAGCAAAGAAAAGCAAGTCGTCCAAGGCAGGTCTGCAGTTCCCTGTGGCCCGTGTCCATAGGCTCCTGCGGAGAGGGAAGTACGCCGAGAGGATTCGCTCTGCCGCTGCCATCTGCCTGGCTGCAGTGATGGAGTACATGGCAGCAGAGGTGCTGGAGCTGGCAGGGAACGCTGCGCGTCAGGACAGGAAGATGAAGATCCTGCCCAGGCACATTCAGCTGGCTGTGAGAAGTGATGATGAGCTGAACAAGCTCTTTGCCTGTGTGACCATTCCTCAAGGTGGGGTTATGGCAAATATCCTTTCTCAGCTTCTTCCAAAGAAATCTAGTGGAAGTGTTGCTTCTTCTCAAGAATATAGTGGCAGCCAGTGAAACTTGTTCTTCCTGGTCTGGTCTGTGCACTTATGGGGGCTCAGTACCACTAATTTATGTTTACTTCTTTAAGTATTTTATCTACTAATTTTAAGGCATTTTAAAAGTGTGTAATAAAGTTTCTAGAATGCAACACTCTGGTCTCCTCATGGATGGAAGAACAGAGAAAATAAAATTTTTAAAAATAGCCCAGCATAGCATCTGAATAACTTCTTAAAAAGTTAAGTACATGGTTACTTTTGGAAAACTGTTGCAGGTAAGTGTTGTGGAGCAGGGAAAGGAGTCAAGACACACACTGTGTCTTGGTGCAATTAGTTCAGTGCCTCAGAGGATAACTCCGCTTTAGAGACTAGTAACCCTGTGTCTTTTAAAGCCTTTTTGCACATAAAACTGTACTGAGCATCTGCCTCTCTTTGGACTGCTCCATCGCTCCAAGTCTCTATCAGGGCAAAGCATGCAGAATCTGGTAGTGCCATGTCTTCTCTTAACACAGATGACAAATTCAGTGTTTTCCATTGCACAAAGTTCTCAAGAACTTGAGAAGGGGTCTACCCCCCCCCCCCACCTTCTCCCCTCCAAAGTCTGTTGGTTTTCTTCTATAGATCCACAAATTTTTTTAAATAGTCATTTTTGCATCTTAAAAAAAAAAAAAAGGCTCTTCTATATTCAGGGGCATTTAACTAACTTTGACTGTAGTTAACAAGCAACAGGACCTCTCAAAGGAGACTTGCTCTGGTCTCATATTTACTGCCTTTTCCCTCTGTATTGGGACACTCTCTGCTGGGGCAGCAGGAGGAGGAAAGGGTCAAGCAGAAGTTATCATTGAGAAAACTAGTTCTGAAGTGGTGAGAAACTGAGATGTGAGAATGGAGATGAAAATGCTGTAAAAATAGAACGAGAGATGAAGAAAAGAGCAGCACAGATGTCAGCAGGAAGCGAATGTAAAATTTTTGTGGGGTAGCATTTCACAATAGAATAAAGAAAAGAATAACTCCCTTTTTGGCAGGAAGAACTGGGTGATACTCTTTTGTTTGCACTATAAAGCTTGTCAAACAAGAAGAATATCAGGATGCTTTCTGGTTGTTCTGGCTCTGCATTTATACCTGCTGTCCTGTTGCTTACACAACAGCACTGCTGATATTTTCTAGACATTCTTTCTTCCACAACACTTGTTAAAATGTAATGCAGCTCATTAAGCTTCAAACCAGCCCTGGCATTGGCCACCAACAGATCAAATGTTCTGCAGCTGAAGAGGAAATAAACAGTTATGGCTCTTCACTGCTGCCTTACAACACATCAACAGTGAAATTATAGATCCTTGGAAACCTGGGGCCAGAACAATGAGAAAAGTTGGTTTGTTCTGGGTTTCATTTTTTTCTTAGAGGAGTTGCCACTCTGAGAGGGGAAAAATGCAGAGCTCAGTTTTGGCACCCAGTTTTGCAAAATGTATGCTGAGGAGTATTTAAACATTTACTGGAGTAGCACTAATTACACTGATAAATAATGATGCATTCATGTAATCTGTAAACAAGTTTTTTTTCAAGGATAAAGTGTCTTATTTGATTATAAGATAAGCTCTCAACAAATATTACTGGTCTATTATGGTCATTTATGCCATTATTTGTTCCAAACATAGGCATTGCGAGCAATTTCAGACAACTATCCAGATAATGAACATTTGGCTTCCTTGAAAAGTTGGGGTTGTATCCAGGTTGAATAATAGGCGCTCTGGATGATTTTGAACAGAAATGCACACAGTAACATAGCAAAATGTTGAGGCTAGGTAACCATACCCTTTTTTCACAAAGGGGGAGGATAGAAAGGTGTTATCAGTGAAGATGCTTAGCTTCATACCCACAGTTAGGACCCTGTTCAATAAAGTGCTTGGTAAGTTTAGAAATCATACCCCTAGGTCATTCTAATGAAATTGTGATCAAAACTTTCTTTCATGTAGTACAGTATAGGAGAGCCTCTTCAAGCCACAAATGCAATAGCAATAATTTTGCTTCTTCGCTTGATCACCAAAGTGCTCATTTATTTTGAAGAAACAAGACATTAATTGCATGGTATTTTGGCACATTACTAGTTCTCATGTCTCATGCTATAGGCTTCAACTTAGCTCAGTCACCTGTAGCTGAGGCTGGTATGTGACTTAGTTAAAAATCAAAGCAAAAAAATCCCACTCAAAACACAGCTCCTCTGGCTTCTCTCTTGATGTTACTGATGCTGCAAAACACATTTATCTTGATGTGGTGTTACTCTCCTAACTTAGTTATGCCCTGGCACCAGGGTGTCAAGGAAAATAGATGTCTTCAATAATACCCATTAGAGAATGTGTGCACATGGTGCTCCACAATTCAATGAAGTGGTGAGCAGATGGAAGCATGGGGGTGAAATGATGCCTGGAGAAGCTCTTCTTTTACCTGTCTAGAGGACTGGATGCTGTTGATGGATGTCTTGGTTGTGCAGGGTGCTTGTAGTTCACTCTGCACTGAGATTTGTGTGTTTATAAACCTGATATCTTCTGTCACTTTCACTTTCTCTGTAAGCAGAGGAAACATCCCAAGTTATGGCCTCAGACAGTCCTGTCTTGGTGAGCACAAGGGATGCACAAGGTCTGAACCCATTCGCTACCCGAGCTGGTCAAGCATAGTGCACCGTGGAGAGGGGTAAAGCCCAGAGTGCCTCTGCTTTGAACATCCCAGATTTGATGCTGGCCTTGCCCTCTGCTGACCGGTCCCAATATTGCAATTCCTAAACACCGTTGTCCTCTTGGAAGTTATGTGCTGCTCTTTTGAAAGTCACAGAGCAGTGAATTTAGGTTATAATCTGAGATTATACATAGGCTGTGTAACTCTGCAGACTATACAGAGCTGTGAAAATGAAGGAAAAGATGTTGTACAAGACTACTGATAATCAAAGGCTATTTTGGTGTTTTTTCATGTAGCATGGTCTCTGGTGTCATTCCTGGAGAGGTCATGCTGCCCAGCAGGGTAGGTGGCTGTGGCCCATCAGTTCACACCAGGTTCATGAGAGGAAATATGACCTTGATGCTATGCTGAATGAGGCTCCTGAATTTTGCTTCTCTTTGGATGGATCACACAGGATTGTCTCTGGGTGCTCTGAGGTCAGTTCACACACGTTCTACATTTTTGCATTATCTGCTGGAAGTTCTAGTCCATGCATAGGTATTTTTCTGGTTGACATTTAGACAGCTGTGCTCCAGAAAGCTGTATTTATGTGTACACATCTTTCAGTGCCATGATCCAGCAGGTACTCTCTGAAATGGCTGTGTAGTAATTCCCGCAAGAAGAAGCTTTGTAGTAAATATATCCAGAATTCTTTTCTTTCAAGTTTGCATTATGTTCTCATTCAGACTTCCTCTATTGATCTTTTAGCAGGTTGAAAGCTAATAGGGAGATGATGTTTGGTGTACAAGGTTCTTTGCTGTCGGAATCTGTGGTATTGATGATTCTGAGATTGTAAAAAGTCTCTGTCTTTCTGCCCTGTTGCCAAAGAAGAAGCCATAATTTGTCTGTGCTGTTTTCAAGGTTGTTTATTCTTGCTTATCTCTAACATGTTCTGCTGCCCTGCCACAGGTCTGTCCTGCAGGGCAGCGTGCGGGGCTCTGCCCCTCAGTGGGATGGTACAAACATTATATACCAGAAACTACCTGTGCTATATTTACAATAATGTGCCAATATCTATCATCTACGTTAAACAGTGTGTCCCCAGCCTAAACCAATAGAAAAATGCCAACACTATAGTGAAACATGGAGGGCATGAAGAAGGAGAAAAAGGACAAGACACACCCAATTTCCTCCATCTTGTCCCCTTTGAGCCCCTAATCTAGAAACCTAAAATTTTACTTTTGCACCCATGCCACACTTAATTATTACTCATATCAAACACTCAGAGCTTGTAATTCATCCTGTAAGATTGAAAACAATTTTCCATGGACAGAGATCACAGACAGTGTCTCTCAGGGCTCTGTACAGGGGGGTTCCTGACCCCCTGCCAGGGTCCCAGGCCCTCCAGGGCAGACAGAGGGAAGCTCTGGATTCCCCCACTTTGCACCAGAGAAATGTCAGAATTTTAGGTGGTGAATCATAACCTGCCATAAGATCAGTCACTTTTTTGTTTTGTACACTGGAAAAAGTTGATCCAGAAATGACTGAAGGACACTTAGTAGCTCCTTCTAGTTGTTCAGTGCAGAAACCTATCAGAGAAATAAAGACAGTTTATGCAGTCCACCCAGTCAAAGACATGTTTCTACCCTGTTTAATAAGGTAGAGGAATGGCAATTGCAATATGGGAGTTGTCTGGAACAGGTAAATAAGTCTTAAGAGTGATCACCATATAAGCAGCCAGTAGACATCCTGGGATCACTGCTCGACTCTAAAATCCCAGCAAATAAGTAAACACAGGCATTGATGAATGCTGACAGGGATGGTGAGTTTAAAATTAAGCATTTTATCATTCCTCTCCTCACACTTTCCTTCTTGCAAATCAACCCCACTTCATTCAGAGTTTCAACTTTCCTTGACCTCTGCCTTTCCTCTTTGTTGGTTGTTCCTCTCTTTCTTCTCCTGTATTGCTCTGTACATGAAGCTTTACTATATTCACCAATGCAAGCCCTCCCATGTAACAGTCTCTACAGTTTCTTATTCATTCCACATTGTATTTTGTGTTCTCTTCAACACTATGATATTTGACTGTCTACAGTTACCCATTCCCTTTGCTGCAAAGCTGCAATTGTTTATTCTTCACTATGTGCAATCACTTCCTTTCATCCTCTGTGAGCTGTACATATTTTTTTCCATATGTATTTTTGCCAAGGTAATTCTGAATGCTGACTCTGTCCTGCAGCCTTGCCATCCCTCGCAGCTTGCCATCACCTCAAATTTTACTAAGTGAGCTCTTCCCTGTGGGAGCTGAGCAGGGAGTGAGGTTGTCCAAGGCACAAGATCACGAAGGGACCAGAGAGAGGGAAGTAAAACACCAAGAAGGTTTTTCTCTTGTGCTTTGTGCTCTGTCCCTTTGGTGAGCAGCATGTCGTGAGGCTGAGCAGCACTTGCTCCTCCACAGTGCATTTCCAGGTCCCTTGCTGTGTGCTCTTCTGAACAGTGCCTTGCTGAGCCCAGCTCCAGCTAGGCCAGCCTGAAGTGATTTTTGAGTCAAGTTAGGTGGCACAAAGACATGCACTCCTGAATATTCCTGCCTTTCCAAGAGTCCACCGAGCTGATCTTAACCACACGCTCTAAGCTGTGGCAACTGGTTTCAGGAGTTAAGTGAGTTAAGCTACAAAAATTTTCCCTTTTGCAGCTGAAACATGTTGCTTCTCAGTGTAATTGAGTATCCCTCCTTGCTGCTTTTTATGACAAGAGGATGGATAAATACCCAATTTACTCTTCTAAACACACTCAGTAGTTTGAAATCTTGTAATAAAATTCTAGATTTTTCTCTTCTCTGCCTGACAGGGACAACTGAGCTTTCACCTCTTTTTCTTGCAGAAGTATTTCTGTGCTTCTAATTGTTGTCACCTGTGTCTGCACTCCTGAATTTCTGCTGTGAGTTTTGCAGTGGGACATTGAGAAAGAATTTCAGGCCAGAGATGACCTTTGCATTTCTATATTACTAATTTCTCCTCTTTCACAGGTGACATTTGAATTGCTCCAGGGAGCAAAGATTTCCACTGGGCAATGAAGAGCTCTTCTGTGCTTCTTACAGAGCCACAGTTACTACAGATATATGACTGAGGAACCTAAGATAGGTTCTCACCTGCAAATTACCACCTATTTATAAACTTTATTTGCGTTTCAAGGCCCAAATAGATGTTATTCTTGAAACCTATTGTGGGTGAAGGAAGCCTTTGCTGACTCTGAGAGCACAGCATGAGTTGCCTATGGTACAGTACTGCTTCAGTATCACCTCAGCCATCTTGTTTACTTTCCCCAGCAGGATGGGGAGAGAATTAGAAGGGTAAGGTGAGCAAAGCTGTGGGCTGAGATAAAGACAGTTTAATAGGTAAAGCAAAGTAGAACAAGGAATTCATTCATTGCTTTACATCAGCAGGCAGGTGTTCAGCTATCTCCAGGAAAGCCAAGCTCCATCACCTAACTTGGCTTGGGAAGACAAGCACCATCACTCTGAAGGGGTGTGTGTGTGTCTGTCCCTTTCTCCTCCCCAGCTTTTATGGCAGAGCATGACAGCATACAGTGTGGGATATCCCTTCAGCGTTGTGTCAGCTATCCCAGTGGTGTCACCTCCCAACTCCTTGTGCACCCCCAGACGCCTCACTGGTGGGGTGGGAAACAGGTCTTGAGATTGTGCAAGCCCTGCTCAGCAACAGCTAAAATATCCCTGTGTTATCAACACTGTTTTGGTCACAGATCTAAAACCCAGCACCATAAAAGCTGCTATGAAGATGATTAACTCTATCCCAGCCAATACCAGTACAAATACTTATGTAGACCTGAACAAAATTTGATACTTTTCAGCTTTGAACTCTGAGATGAAACAAGGCAGAAGTGCCATTGCAGTGCTTTCGTAATCATTATCTCTTATCTATTTGCATTGCCAGAGTGCATCCCCACCACTTGTATTTGGCTTAGTTGGTCCTTCCAGAGGGACATCCTAACTGGTCCAAGATACCTGAGAAGCCAGAGAAGCCAGCATCCCTTTGGTACATAAAGACTACCCTTTGGTAGTCTTTCCAAGGGTAATAATTCCCTACAGGATTTGACAGCACACTGAACAACAGCTGTCTGCTTGATGACCCTCATATGCACTGGAGAGTCTGAAGGCATCTCTCCTCCAGACTGAACCAGCCCAGTTGCCCTTGCATCTCCTCAGGGGCAAGTTCTCACCACCTTGGAGGCCCTCACTCCACTTTTTCCATGGCCTTCCTGTATTCTGAGCCTCCAAACAGAATACTCTGCCTTAGATGCTGTCAACAATTGCCAAACAACTCATCCCTTCCCTCCAACTACCAGTTAAACTTCTGTTAACACAGCCCAAACTGGGAACTCATCCAAATAAAACCCCACTAAAAATCCCACAAAATGACAAAACACCAGTATCTCAGGGTTTGTTTTTAAAAACAAAGGTATCTCCAAATCTGGTTCACATGCAGCTGTGCCAGCATTACTGGAACAGTACTATACCACAGTAGCCAAAGAGAAGGAGGGGTAATAAAGGGCTCAAGGAAATTAATTCAGCCTTATTTGTATCCCCAGAACCTCAATTTTACTATGCTCTTTTCTTCCTAAGGAAGTAACTGCTTAGTACTTAAAGTTTTGTGTCCATAAATGTCTCCACATACCAAAATATTCCATACAGTGCAAGCACAATCAGCTGCACTACATTTTCAAATGCATGATTTCAGAAAAAAAGGGCAGATGTTCAGAATATTTCTCAAAAGTGCCTCATTTGTGCTTTATGATAGCCAGCAAGGCAAGGCTGAAAAAAACACATCATCTGATCAAATAACATCTGTATGTAGTAGTACTTGTTCCTCTTCTTTCAAAGTGCTTTGGATTCATCAATTATTACACTTGAGCACTTAGTTACTCAAAATAAATCATTAAAATGTCCATGATGATTTTAGTATAGTGTTGTTCAGGATGCCTATTCTGAAATAATTGGGAAATATATTATCTAGTCAAAAGGACAAGCTTATCATTTATGACCCTATTAAAGAAGATGTTATAAAATTCACTGTTGCATTTGAAAATTGTCGATATTGAGATGATGGATTTCCTTTGATTACAGCTGGCACTAGGCAATGCTAGACTATAGCCCAAGGAAGCCTAGTATGGGCTTCAATAAATAAAGGACAACAAAAAGAATTACTGATTGCAAATTTATTACATGGAACAGCAAATTCCAGACAACTGAGTCACATAATAGACAACCAGTGCAATGGGAAGTATCTTTCCTTTATGTAAACCAAGTCATTGAACTGGTGAATGAATCCATGAACGTCACATGCCACGATAGTCTGCAACAAATTAACACAGTGTCATATTTTATGTTGAGATGTTGATCTGAATATGACTTAGTACTCAGTTCTGTACATCTGGTTCTTTTCAAAGCTAGAAATTAAATAGCTTCAGATTCTAAAACCAGAAGATTTTGATATTTGAAGGTCCAGAAAAGTGCTCAAATCTGTTACTTGTACTCCAACATGAATCCTTTCTTCTCACACAGTTCTCTTTCTACCATACTGTAACCCTGCTGATCTTATTTTAGAGTATGGAAGCATGACAAATGCCCCCCTCCCCTCTGGCAAGGGTGTGCACTCTAAGTCTCTGAGCATGAAAAAACCCTACATTTCTGTCAAGACAATTCTTAGTGTCCATATGAAATATGTGTATCTAGGTTTGTACTAGGTTTGTAATGCTTCTCAGTACCTTCTTTTGTCATGAGGCTCATCATTGGTGAAAAGGCAGAAGAAATTCTTGACACTTTTGGTTGCCTACTTACCACTGCCTTCAACAGTTCTTCCATTTCGAGGCTGAAAAACATAATAATTAGATGATTGTAAATAAGCAATAGATTACAGATTTATAAGCACACCAAAATACATCCCCATCATGCAGACAGGGTACTGTATAAAACTGCAGTGAGATTTTCTTTAAAACAGCAGGTCAAATACCAGGGGGATCCATGCAGGGTGGGTTATGTTTTTAAATATGAGAAAAAAAAAAAAAAGAGAAAAATATGCCCAAAAAGCTAAACATTCTGGCTTTAATTATTCTCATTCAGGTTTGGGTTTAAATTCATTGGGGTAGTATAGGCACATGCCTAAGAAAGAGCATGTAAATGCCAGCACTGAAAGAACCTAGGTGAACACACTTGAAGCAGCAAATAACTTGAAATTAAGCATAAATGACAGCTGAACTGGTACTCTGGTTACCTGACATGACCTACTTTAGAGTATTTAAATTTTTTTTTTAATGTGTTGAAGATATTCCCAAGACTTAGTTTGGTGTTAATCAGAGTGTGTCTAAACCAGCACACTGGTCATTAGACCATGTCATAGCTCAGCAAGCCAATGGATGAAAAATGTGAGATAAATTATGATAATTTTGCTCTGGTTTTTCACCATTATGCAGTGTGACTTCACTTCCTGGGCAGACCTTTCAGGCCAGGTGGGTACTCAGCTCAGGCACATGTTTGATCTAATTTATTTAGCATCAGTGCACCCTGACAGCCTCAGAGATACAAGCCACTTGAATGATTTGGCTCAAGATAAAACATTTGCAGAGCCATATCTTCAAACAAAAAGAAGTGTTTAATCCACCAGTACCCCAAATCTCATTATCTTGTCATCTTTTAGCCAAACCAGAGCTTTTTGAGCAAATGGCCCCCTAAGCTTTCAAGCATAGGGATATTTGGCTTCTATTCAAAACAACTGCAGCAAGAATTTGTGAAAAAACTGCTTGTCTGTGAACATATAACAATATCTGAGATTCAGAATCTTTAAAAGAAAGAGATTCAGATACCCTGAAAAGGAAGAAAGGCCGCCCCAGAGTTCCATGACTGTCCTATAAAATCAAACACAAACAATAACAAAATACTTTAAACTCGGTTCCATAGGTCTGTTGCCAAATTTCACCATTCTATCAAAATATTGGTAATCTGGGGCCTTTTCCAGCAGCATGCAAACAAGATGTTGATAGTCCCCAATGCCCATTCATCTAGAATGTTGATAAAAAATTAATGCCTTAACTAGCACATTGTGTCTAGTGTAAATAAACTAGGTTACCATAATTAAAGATTCACAGGGTTAAAAGAGATATAAAATAAAGCTTTACATGTAGGATATGAGCAGGGTCATCACAGATCACTTCCCAACCACTGGAAAAACCCAAGCTGACTTTAAAAGAAACAAGGAAAGGGACATACTTCCCTATCCACTGCCACTGCCACTGCTTGTCTTCGTATTTACATACCTTCTTTGTAAACTTTGCAGAAGCAATCTGTGATTCCTGCAAGTGGACACTGCACGTTAATCAAGATGCTGGCACATTTTGGTTTGTTACAGTGACCTTCTGGTACTGATGAGGTTGGTACACTCGGTGTGAGAAAAGATATAACCTTACACTTATCACAGACAGATGTAAGAAAGCAGCAAATGGATCTTTTAAAAGACTGATGTGAAGCCTTGCCTGGAAGTTGCTCTGTTCATTACCATCATTCAACAGGCTTCCCCTGCTGCACAGCAAAGTGCAGCTGTGCTCTGGGGGGTGAAGCAGAGCTCAGCCTGGAGCTCCACTCCTCAGGCTTGAATTGTACTGATAGCTCTTATCTTGTAAAAATGGGGCTGCTCTTCACCTTTCAGACTGCCCTTGGTTTTAACCCAGGAAAGATTGCTGGGTCTAAGCCTTCCCTTGCACTCTTTATTCTTCAGAAAATTGCTCATTTTTCTACTCAGCCTTACTTCAAGGAGTAGAAATTTTCCACATGACTTTATATGAGCAGACCAAGTTCTACATGTGATGCAGCCCTGAACCTGCAGCCTGGTTTGAGACCCCTCCTGCCCATGACACAGCTGCCAGGCTGTATGCTCCCAGCCAGCCAGGAATGAGATGGGATGGCTGCGTGGCACAGCCCATCAGTCACCCATCAGTGAGTGGGTTTAGTTACCTGGAGTGGGCTTGAAAAACAAATACATGTCATGGGCAAGAATGGGAAGATGGGTGAGAATGCAGGAAAGCATGTGGATGGGAAACTGCAGAGAAGGAGTTTTAAAAGACAAAATACACAAGCAAGAAAGACGGAATCATGGTTCAGGGTATGAGAAGAGGATTACTTTGGTTCAAGCAGCAAGACAACAATTTATAGAGTGACTGATATTAACTTACAGAGCTATGAAATACTAGGGAAGAAAAAAATGCTTGCTCAATCAAGGTGCTTTAAAGGATGCAAAGGAGGAGACTACCACAGAGAGACAATATGAGTGTTACCTTTGTTCTGAGTTCATTATTACACACCAAGCAGAGATAGAGATTGGCTCATGACTCAGCCTGCAGTTTCAACTATCCTAATTTATAACAGGTAAGAGATCACTTTGTGGAAGAAATATGGTAAAAACTAAGCTTTTAAATATCTTTGGGGTGGAAGTCTCAAACAAACAGTGAAGTGATTGGACATTGATGCTAAATATTCTTAGTTCTCACAAAATATTTTAAATTCCCCAAGTGGGGTTCAAGTTCCATTCAAACCCAAATTGCCATGGACTTTGCCTTTCACAGTGCTGAGGTCTCATTCCTTCTCTTAAAACACCATCTACATTCTCTATAGGATCTGTAACTCTGACTGAATATTTTTTTAATTCACAGAAATATAGAATGATGTAGAAAGCTAAATTCAGCTGACATTAGTAGGATTTCATAACTGTTTCATTGGGTTCACTACATACAGACTCGTGTTTGTAGTGTCTTCTGAAGATTCCTTGTGGGCTAAGAAAGTAGGATTTCATGTAATATGATATTTGATCAGCTGGGTAATACTTCATATAGTTCTTTTTCCATATTTCACATATTTATTTTATCTGCTACTTTACTCAGACCACATCTAGAAATCATATTGCAGATGTGTAGCTCATATAATTTTAAAGGATATTGTATGAGATTCAGCTTCCAATCTTGAGGACATAAAATTTTTTGCAAAGTTAGTAACTAAAATTGTAACCAGGAATAGGACTCTGTTCAAAGTTACCAGGTGATTCTGGACATTCCCTCAATGGCTAAGCTGTGGAAGCATAAGAGTCAACAGTGAACTCAAAAACATTTATTAGACTTTATGACAAATGCTAGAATATTTTATACAATCAGCTTCAGTATTGTAGAGTTTAGTGACTGCTTCAGGAAAGCATGCTTGGAATTCTAATAAGCTAAAGATACTGGCAAGAAGAGATACTAAAATGCATTTCAAAATACTTTCTATTATTATCTTGAAGGATCTACTCCTCTTTTGAAACAGCAGAGGACTCAGCCTCCACAAGTAAATTGGCCTTTTTAGCATATACCCGGGGGCTGAATGAATTTTATGGAAAAGGTTCTCAATGAAATGCTGCTAATAAAAAAGTGATGTAAAGCAGAACTGGCATTGAGGTAGGTCCTTATATGACTGCACCAACAAAAAAGAGCTATACTCAATAACTCCTCAACTTAATCTCTTTACTCTGAGTCAGAAACAGAAGAAACCCAAACACAAATAGAGTCTTAAAATCAGTGAAGTGATTCATACACATCTGTGTTCTACATAATCTAAGGTTTGCTATTGATACAATGTTATGTATATTTATAGTGTATTTAAAGGTGTGTTGTTCAAAGTTGAGGATCAGGTTAAAATCCTGACTCTGACTGTAAGTGAATGTTTTTGTTCTTAAGCTCTGAATTGGTGAAAAACAGCAGTTTCATATAAATAATTTAAAGTAACTAAGAATTACATGCAAACTACTAACAAGAAGAAAATCTTTTATATACCCTCTTACATCTCTTAAACCATTATAGTATTAGATTATACATTATTGTTTGGAGAGAAATGTCAGAAAGTGGGTCGTGGAGCAGTTGCTTTCTATGTTTAAGAAGGGAGTGCTTTGGAAAAAAACAAGCAATTGCACCTTACCTCATTTTTATGCATGTTGTTGAATATGGAATAACAGAGATCCAAAACAGTGCTTGAGATCTGAAAAAAAACCCAAACAATACTTTAATACATTTACAGGGAGAACATGGTGTACATGGTTTGGTAGAAAACAGGATTGATTCTGATCCCAGATCAATTTAGATTGAGCACAGTTCACTAAAAAAACTTAGAGCAAGGGAAAACTTACTGATGCTATTATGAGCTGAAAAATTAACCTTTTGTTTGAGGAGAATACCCACAATAAAACTGTTGTCAATACAGTCTGGTGCTATAAACAGATCAAAATCAGCCTCTTATATTTAAAATACATTTTTCTATGCTAATTGTTCTAGGGGTAGTTTTAGTTTGAGGCATGTTTAGTCTATGCTCATTTTTAACTACAATCCTTTTGGTCAATCATATAATCTTTATTTATATACTGAAATGCACTATCCCATACTCATTGCCACAGGACGGCATTTGCTTAGGCATTCAATTGCATTAGATGAGAACTACAGCTCCAAAGGAAGTGAGGTGTAAGACATCTGAAAAACAGGCTCTGCGAACTGTTTTCTACAAGTTTTGGTTCCCAAAACTGTAACATTTCATAAAGAAAAAAAAAAACAAACAGCACAAAATGTTCAAATTTTCCAAATACCTCCTGATCCTGCAAATATTTTTCTCCCTGCTTTGAAATTGACCCTTGGGCTCAATATTAAATGCAGTGCAGCTGATCTTTCACATACTGATCTTTTCTTTTAAAGTGTGTGTAAGCCTTGAGCCAGCAGAAATTATCTGTGAAAACTTCCCCTTGCTCCCTTCTCCTCTAAGCACCCCAGAAAAAACCCATCCACCCATCAAGCACTGAGCCAGGACCAAACAAGACCTCTAAATCCTGCAAAACTGTCTGGCATGTCTTCCTTCAGTGTTAGCTACTACTGGCATGGCAACAATGGGGGGGAAAAAGTGCTTTTCTTTAGGTCTACATTAGCTTCCTGAGGAGGAGAGCGTATACACCAACAAACTTGCTCTTCTCTCCAGAGCTGCTGGCTCTCTGGCGGAGGCTCTGCCACCTGCAGACATCGATGCTCCAGGTTACAGAGGACAATTAGTATGTCTGGAAGAGAGAGTCTCAGCAGATCAAACACATTACAGGAGTCAAGTTACCTGGGGTTGATCGGACATTTCCATCCACTGACTGAAACACAGTGCCAGTTGCTTTAAAAAGTAAAGAATAGACATTAACAGTGTGCCTATTGTACCTTCGGACCTGTGTTTTTGCTCAGGAAGTCGGGACTGGCTTGTTATTAGCCAATCTTTGGCTGACCCAGGTGTTCTATTCTGCACCCTGCTGCACTCCACACCCCTGCCCATACCTGGTCCACCTGCCGCTGCGGGCGGCAAAGGGCGCCAGCCTCCCTCCTCTCTTTACCAACCCCCTGGGTATTTAATAAGGAATTAATAAGGTATTTAATAAGGTATTTAATAAGGTATTGCCAGTCCGTTGCCGATTTCCTACCTCATTTCCCTGCCACAGACGAGCCTCGTTTCCCACCTTCCCCGTTTGTTCCTTACCTCTCCAGCTCGCATCGCTGTCAGACGACAGTGACAGACGTACCTGGTTTGGGGGCAGCTCCACGCCGTCCCGGGAGCGCGAGAAAGGCTGCGGGAACCCTGCGGGACGGGACACGGGTGTGTTGGGATGCCGCGGAGCCCAGCCAGGACGTGGCTCCTCCAGAGGAGCCGACCCTTTCCAGGGCTCTGCGGCGTCCCCCCGCCCCCCGTGCCGGACGTACCTGAGCCCCGCGGCAGGGCGCAGAGGCAGCAGGCGGCCAGGAGCCAGGGCAGGGCGGGCGGCGGCGAGGGCATGGCGGGGATGCGGTGGGATGGATGGATGGGTGGAGGGGCGAGAGGACGGACGCCTTTATGGGGCCTCGCCGAGCCCCATATGGAGCCGCCGAGCCAATGGGCGCCGGGGCGGTCCCAAGCACCGCTCCCACCGTCGCTCCCGGTGTCGCTCCCGGTGCCGGACAAGCACTGCCGCCCCCGCCGCCCCGCGCCTCGGCCCGCCGGGACGAGAAACACCCAGCCCAGCATCAGGGAGCCCGCTCTCCACCCCCTAGAAGCCTCCGTCAAAACTGCTTCTCTAGAAGAGGTGATCGAGAGGAGAGAGAGATGAGAAGATGCTGTGCCTGGTCAAGTGACAGAGCAACAAAAAATTCACTTTCGTAGTAGGACTGAATGTTTGGAAATTATTTCTTCTCATGGCAGCTTGGGAAATAGTTTGCCTTCTAATTAGAAGGATTGTGAACTTTCATATTGAACAAGTCCTATTTTACTACATTTACCTTCACATGAAATAAAGAAAGCCATCCACCTTTTAATTAATTTCTTAGCGGGTATGGCTGTAGAAAAGATACAGATCTGCTATCAATAGAAAGTGATTCTCCTTTCTTCCTGATTTAATCATGGGGTTTGACTGTGGAAAACTCTCCCTGATTTTCTCTGTGCAAGTTCTAAGAGCAATGCCTTCTAATCAGATCACAGACTTAGAAAGGCAGAGTCCTCCTGAACTCTTTTATTTAATAGACTTTGGGCTTGCTGAAGCAAATATATATTCAGTTGTCCAACTTCTAACATAGCAGGGTTGGAGCTACATGATCTCTTCCAACCCTAACTATTCTATGATTCTATGTATTAGACGTGCTTGGGAGGCAATGGCTCCGGTGTGGGATATGAGACACAAAAAGCTGCAGAAGGTATTATTGTCACAGCATCCCACCTCATCTCATAATGTCCCTCAATGGCTGTGCTGCACACTAAAAGGATGATGGCAGGACTGTTCCTGGTGGGAGCATCTCAGAACAGTCAGGGAGGAGACACACCTGCTTTCTCACAAAGGAAAGGGGAGCCAGACTTCATCGACTTTTGTCAGCCACACATCTGTGTGTCCTGAACACATAAAGAGGCACATGAGCAGGCAAGTGACCCCAGCACCATTAGTTCACCCTTTGTTTCTTCCCCTGGGAAAGATGGCTGTCTTTGCCTCATCACAGCCTTTTGGGGGCAATAATCTGAGTGAGGAGATGTCAGGAGAGGTCAGATGTTGCTAGAGCAGACACTCAGTTGTCAGATTCTCACTGTCTTAAGTGGAATGGGAGATTCAAGACCGAATTCAAAGAGATTAGTCCCTCTGACTGTATAATTTTTATCCTCTGTGGGAGCTAAAGCAGATTGCAGCAAGTTTTGTGATGATGGTTTCTCACAGCAAATCTGCCCAGGCTTTCATTAACAAGATGATGCAGAGTTCCAGGAAGCCCATATCTCCTTTTTGCAGAGGACCTGCTTTCTACCCAAGCCCATGAAATCCTGGAGTGAAAGCATTCTCTGTGTTTGTTAAATTTGCTCATAAAAGGAGGATGGTGTTTTATTTTTGATGACAGCAAGAAGCAGGTTTATGTTTGGTGTAATTTATTTAAGCCAATGTAGTAACAGAAGTGTGAAAGCAGAGCCCCACTACTAAGTGTGAGCTGGGCTAGTCAGAGGTAGTAAAATGAGAGAAGGTAAAGATACTTTGAAAGATTGGACATTTTCATATTAATTATCTTCTTTCTGTCTTTCAACACTTTAACTGAACTGAAAATTATAATGCACCAGCAGTGTTTCTCTTGCCCTGCTTATCACAGATCTTGCATCCAAATCACTCCCATGCTGCAGAAACACAGGATCTTAGAGAGCCATTATAGATTCACCATTTGCTATTATTTTTTAATATTTACATATGAGATACCAATCCTGTTAAATCCTAATACTTTGCTATCTTTTTACAAGAGAATAATATTAAATTATGACCAGATTGCTAATGATGGTTCATGGAAATGGGATGTGCTTCTCTGGCTTTCCCTATTTGATGATAAAAGCACAGTCTCTATAACCTCTGCCTGTTATATGGTAGTCTCTTTCCACTTTTTCAAACACATTTGAGTTTAGGAGTGGATTTTTTTTTTTTTTTTTTTTGTAATAGCATGTGATCATGTTGGGTGGGTAAAATCTACTTCTACCTTACACAAAATACTGGATGCCATCTGGACCTTTCCTTCCTCCTTCTCATGCACAATAAACCATCTGCTGCTTTATTTCACCACTTACCAGGGAGTAGTCTAAGTGTACTCTGTGGCTTCTTTCAGCAAATTTTGCCTACAGTGAAGCCCATGGAGCTATCCATTCACATCAAGTGAGGTTTAATACTTGAAGATGAGAAAAAATTAACTCATTCAAGCTCCACTAAAACAAAAATCACAACTTATCTCCTAACTGAAAATAGTATTTTATCACAGCTATGCAATATGAGAGAAGAATGGGAAAAGTGTTGAAAACTAAAATTTCAAATATATGATGGTGTTATATTGTGAACACATTCAGCTTCCTTAAGTCAGAACTTTCTTTGCTGCTAGATGTTTCATTTCAAAAGTGTTAGCTAAGGTGCAGCCAATTGATATATCAACACCAAGCCACATTGATGAGCCATACTTTCACTGCATAAATAAAATTCCTCTTTCAAGGTCCTGGGCTCTCTGCATGAAATGAGAAAAATAGGGTGACTTTCAGTGTCCTCAGTGATTCACAATGGAGTTAAAAATGAAGCTTTAGCAGGAGGTTGATGAGAAACAAAAGGATTTTTATTGTGAGTAGTGAGTCTTGGCATATATTTAGCAACAGCAATATTATGACACCCATAATTTTAGAATAAAACATGCTGTGATTGATAAATGAATAAGAAGAAAATTTGGCGTCAATGGGCAAAAAAAGGTGAAGGGCTGGTTTCATTTTTGTAAATGATTTCTGCAATGAAATCAGTAGTTGTTGCAGACAGCAAGGACAGAAGTGTGCAATGTCACGATTGAGCAGCTCTTGAGTGCATCCCAGCTCATCCAAGCTGCTTCTGCTTGCTCATGCCTCTTCCCCCTCCGCAGCTCAGCAGTACTTTGTACAATGCATTGTCGTGCTCTGAGGGCTTTCAATACCTCACCCATGACCTGTTTGCAAAGATGAGGAAAGCTGCAGAAAATGGAGGATATTTATTAGGCAAACCTGCCACAGAGCCTGCAGATAGCTCCCATTACTCATCTTCTATTACATATGACAGTGCCTCCTTATGTTGAATACAAGGCTGTGTTTGATGTGGTTTTAGTTAATACTCATTTACCTTTCCAGCACAGACAAATAGTCCAAACAGTGGGAGCTTGTCTCATTCTTGTTTTTACATGGGCTCTACTTGGCACTCAGAGCTGTATGCCCAAACTTTGTTTTACCAGCACATATCACACTTTTGTAAAACTGACATCTGCTAAAGGTGCTGATTTGGTTGTCAGAATGTTAACTAAGTATGATATTATCAAGTAAATACAATCTTATGCTTTTTTTTGTGGTTGGGTTGCTATACTTTACAGCTGTAAAGCCACATTCATAAAGTTGAGAAGGCCAGAAAGTAAATATTTCAAGGGGATCAGTTAAAATCATGTCCCACTGGGCAGGAGTTCAAAGACAAGAGTTAACCAAGAACATAAAAATGGAGGACAAATGCTACTGGTAAAGTTAGGAAACTAGACCAGGAAACTGAATATTTGCATTCTTTTGGATAGCTTATTGGCTAATTTTTGGAGAAATGTGATTTTATGTCCGCTACACTCAGCCAGAGAAGTGTAAATTCCTCTGAAATGGAGCAATTTGCACCTACCATGTTGTGCTGTATGGAAACAGTGCTGTAGCAATGGGTTGTATTTGGCAACAGTGGAATAAAGGATCAGTATAATTTCTAGATTTTGAGACATTTGGAAAGATTTTTAACCTGGAGCTCTGACTTGGCTTAATTTTATTTGGTGCTGCCCCAGCTGGACAGGGAGGTTGTTCTTCCACTTAGGCAACTGGTGGGATAACTCAATATCTGCAGTTTAGCTTTCACCGAGGATTTGTCCAGAATGATTAATTCCTGGCATCTTAAGCCACCCATAAATTTCCAGGTGGTCTCTGAGTCAAATGCTGTAGTGGCTGACATATACTTCACACCACCAGCTGAACAAATTTGATTTTAATAGCTGAATTATAATGCTGACACTCATTCATCCATGCCTCCTAAATCTGAATTGTTTAATCTGTCGTTTTAATTTTCTCTTGGTAAAGCTATATGTAAATCATCATTTTGTGTTTATAGAGGAATCACCACAGTCTATGGACACCTTACACTGATTAATAAAAGATTTAGATTAACATGCATACCATACATCTCAGATTTCTGGCAAATACCCAAATCCTACGTCTTCACTGCTATAGGAGAAGAAAGTAGCTGAAAATAAATGTTTTTCTCACCAAGAACTGACTACAGGGAGAGCCAATCCCAGACCATTTTTACTACCTGACCATGTTTCCTTGAAGATTGCTCACTCTAAACCCACCAGCCAGAGAGAAGAAATCACCAGACTATGTTAATCCATTTCAGTATCTTATGACCCATCCACTCTGGTGCTGGTGATAGGACCCATCATCTGCCTGACTTTAATATGATACACAAAAAACAGCTCATCTGGTCAGCTGACTACTTAAATAACTGGAGCTCAGGCCTTGGACACTGCAACTTATGTGCCACTTGTCAGTGAGTGAGGAGCAAAGAGTTTAACCCAAAACTCTGCTTCCCTTAGCTATACTTACCAGCACTTAATCCTGTCAGACATCTGAGTTGAGTGCTATTCAAAATCAGTAAGTACTCAAACACTGTCACTCACAGTTATTGCTGAAGGTATCTGTATTTTTCTTCCTTAGTAATTTGACTTACTTAATATGAAAGCATTCTGTTTCAAGTAAGCTGTATCTTTAGAGTATTGCTGGTATTGAAAATGAAGTGATTACTTCTTTGACATATTAAATGTCATTTGTATCAACTGTTGTATGCCTTCTGGCTCCTGACTTCAGCTGTAAGACTTAAGCTAACTTTTATACTGTCCTTTGGCCAAAGTAGTTATGCCTTGCCACTCACTGTCTTTTTTTTTTTTTTATTTTATTTTATTTTAATCTCATTAGATTATATCACTCCACAAAAGCTCTACTGTAGCAAAATGCAAAACTTTTCAGCTGTTAGAGCATTTTATTGGCCTGAAAATTTTGGAATTGTAAGTTTCATGGAAATGGCCGCTCCTGGGTCTAGTAATCAGACCAGACTGTAAACCAACAACAAACTAAGAGCCATTAATACTAATTCTACTACTTGGATTGGGGTCCAAACCTGTCTGTCAGTAGTGATGCCTTGTCCATAGCCTCTATTGAGAATTGCTCAGAAGCTGTTTCTCTCCACACCTGAGTCCTAGAGCTCTTTGTGCACAGAACACGTATATCTTTTCTCTATGGCAAAAGATCTGCCTTGTCTGCCTGTAAGCAGCTGTCTAGAAAAATCATAGGCAAACAAAAGGCAGGTTTTCCTTTGAAGGAACCATTTTACAGTTGAATGTCTTCTAAAAGCCTTTAATCTCCTTCTCAAATAAATTTGAGTGAGGGGTTTTTTTAAATTATTATCCTTTCCCAAAGGTCTGTCTGCAGAAGCACAGTGGGATTTGTTATACATGCAGAATTAATTTGTGTCCATTAACATCCTATTTACATATTATCTTGTGGAGTTTAGGTGCTCCATGTCAGCCAAACCTTGAATTAAGAAAGCTCTCCCTGCTCGGGGAAGGACCCCATGAATGAGCCATTCTGCTTGCTTGATGTCTGCCCTGGGAACTGTGTATTACTCAGCCTTTTCCAGACCCAAAAGGGGCCAAAGTTCCAGTCCAGGTTCTAGATATACCATTAGACATAAATATATAGAAAATGACCTCCCATAATATGATGCACCAGCTAGACAAGAAAAATGAGGGAAAATGATAGTGTGGTGGCAGTAATACAGACATTTGTAATTCTTATCCTCCATCTGCATTTACTTTATCTTCTTAATAAGTATTTCTTGACAGCAAAACATAGCATGGGGGAATGTTTTTGTGGACCACCCTCAACAAAATAGCCTGGTAAGACAGGAAGTTGAGTGTCAACAATTCACATGAATGGAACACCAGAAACTGGCTGAGAAGATGCTTGCCCAAACTGGTGCTGCTTTAGGGGAAGAAGATATCACCAGGATTTAACAGTAACCAGGAAATTGAAGTCTTTTGAAACAAACTTAACTTGAAAAACGCACAAAAGACACACCAAAATTTGCAACTGATGGTAGGGCCCTGGTGAATGTAACAGAGCAGGGTTTGACAATGGCAGGGGCCCTGCTCAGCACCAGCACTGCAGCACCCATGTGGATTGGGGGACACAGAAGCCACTCAGGAGGAGTGATCCAGTGGATGTAGTGCAGATTCTGCACCTGTGCTCCAACAGAACTTACTTGGTGACATGAAGGTTCAGAGAGTGTAGGGAGCAGTGGGGGTTCACACACAGCCAGAGCACACACATCCCCCAGAGGAGAAGTGGGGATGTAGGGAGCTCCTTATCCTAGAGAAAGAGGTAGGCACTTGCCCCTCACTGTGCAGAATTTGAGCACTTGGGGATTAGTTATTCAAGGGTGTTCAAAAATTTCTACTTCAGTAACAGTTTGCAAGTGTCAAATGTTGAGGTTTATCTGTTGTAGCTCTTTAATATATCTTTCACACATTGCTGATCAATTATGTGCTGTTACTAATTAAATAAACTACTTCAATCTTGAGTTGATTTAAACTATGAGAAGTTTTTCCCTGGGGAGAGGTTTAGCAGAGATGACACATTGGGACCTCATCTCATAATTTGTTATTATAAGATACAGTGCAGTAACTGGCAAATCCTGTTTGGTTTATCACTGTAAACCTCAGGGATTTATTATGGCCAGAGGTATGTGACTATCATGAAGTCACATGGAACTGGGGATTATGTTTATTTCTCTGGATGAATAGTCCTGAGACAGAAGAATTAATTGCATTCAATTCCAATTCTCTTTTTCTTTCTGTTGACAGTGTTATCATATTCCTTGTTGGCAATAGACTGTCTAAAGAAGATGGTTTTTAATGGAATAGTGAGGAATGATTTAAAGTTAAAATCAATTAATCTATAACAATTTACATTAAGATAACTGAGTACAACATTAAAGAAGCCAATAAAGATCATGATAAAGCTTCAGGAGGCATAATAAAGTTACAAAAAACAATTTCTAGAGAGTATATTAAATATATTTCCAAAATCCAGGCTATCATTGGAAAAATATTTTAAATGTGCTCTGTTCTACAGGAGAAACATATTTGTGTATCCAGTTTCTGCTGGTTTTACATTTTAAAAAATACACATTCACTTTACCCTGTAGTCTGGCAGGTTCTAGAAATTTGCTGAACTTTTGGAATAAACCAGAGATGCTGCTGCATTTCCTGCTCTTTCTTGCAACTCTGAAAGCAGTCTTGAAGTAACTTTTGTATCAAACTACCATTATCAAACACTTTTTAAAAGCAGCTTTGTTTTTGCCACGGAATCAATAATGTACCTTGCTTTTCCAGTTATAAAAATCTATTGAAGAGATTTCTCCTGTATGAAGGAGTTGGATAAGATGAAATCTGTGTGCAATGGCTTAAGGATAATCTCATAATGACTACAGTGTGACAATAAAATTAAAAAAAAAAAAAAGATAAATCAATCAGAGCTCCCCACTTTCTGTTTGGAGAAAACATAGCCAAAAGTAATTTTCCTGTTCTAACTCCAGCAATATCAAGAGAATAGCAGAAGCTGATATGACCAAATAACTTCTGTAACAGGAACACATCTAGACAACAACAGTGCAAGGCACAGTGTGGCACCATGAGTTATCCAAGAGAATGAGGCTCAGTGTGTTGCTGTTGTTTATCATTCCTGAAGGACAAAATAATCTGCCCTCTTTGCAGTGGCTGGATCAGTGGGTCACTGGTCAGTGACACGGTTTCCTTAATGAAGTGAGTGCTCAATGAAGATGTGTAAATTAGGAAATAAGGATGTCACAGCAAAGTACATGCTAACTGCTCGGGTAGGCTTTTTTTTTTAAACCAGGAAAGCCCACTAGTTAAATGATGTAAAATATAAAAGGACAGAATGTCTAGAGGGAATTGGTAAGTGGGTGGATGGATGGCAGCCTCCTTCTTTTCTGGGGATACAACTTAAAACAAAGATAGTGTTGCTGTGGAAATATGTCTGCCTAAGTGATGTGATGCTTCCAAATGCAGGGTTGTTCTTTATACTAAAAAAGGAAATAGTTGTAATCCTCAAAGATTATTGTGAGCAGAGCCTGAAGGTGAACAGAGGATCTAGTGCCCTTCAGCAAGAGCTGACAGCCTAAGGAAAGGCTTGGCTCTGAATGGCCAAAAAAGATTGTAAAAATTTATGATGTTATATGGTAAGAGAGAAATGCTTAATACAGCTGATATGGGCTACTCACAATATTTTTAAAGAAACTGACAAAAAAGTCTCCAGGATCTGTGCTACAAGATGGTACCTTGTACCACTGAACCAATGTACTTTTTATGATAATACTTAGCTCACACTTGAAAACCACATCTTGGCTTGGCTTACCCTTTTTAAATTTAATTTCATAATTTTGAGCTCAGAGTAGATTTTGCAATTTAGAGCAACATGACTTGAAAGAACACATCATGATATATTCTCAAACACTACAGTGACGGATGTAAAACATTAAACAATGATGTTTTTCTTTGGTTGAAGTATAAAGCTGGCATCTTCCATATTGCCTTTATCAAATACCAATTGCAATAATAACAGGTGATTTATTACTGTAACTGTGTGCTTTGTAACTGAGTATCTTAAAATACTTTTCAAAGATTGTCTGTGAAGGTGAAATCAATCTTAACCTTCTTTCATTTAAGTTGAATACATAGCAAGAAGATGTAAAATCATTCTCCCTCTTTTTCAATGAAGAAATTCTAGAGATAAAACACAATGCTTTTCATGGTTGATCTATCATGGGTGGTCCTGACACAAGGTTTGATGAATGACTAGTGTCACACAATTCCAAAACATCAACTGCTGTCTTTGGGTGAGCTGAATAAATGGAGAGGCTAGTTGGAAACCACCAGCCTTTTTCTTGTAGTGAGGCTGAAAGCAATGTCACTAAAACTTTCCATATTTACCCTACCTCTTATATTTTCAGGGTTCTTTTTGGTCATGGTTGCCATAAATGGTTAAACTACACTTATTTTAGAAATGGGCATTTTCAAATAGACAATCTCCCATGTGTTTTCACCTAGATGAGAACAAGTTTTTATTGTTGCAGTGCAACACTGTGCAGGGCTGTGCCCTAATATCGTGGGAAACATTAAGCTGAAGGAAATAAAATTTGCCACAGACAGAGAATCAGGGTAAAGCTAGGTCTTGTGAGCCTAGATGTCTCTGTATTTCAAGGGCAAGAACTTTTAACATAAGTTTCAGTGACTGAAGAATTCGTTTCACCTCCGGGTTGCAAATCCAAAGGTCACGTTTTTCAAAACAGTCCAACTTCTCCCTCTTATTCTTTGTCCCATCCCTATTTCTGTCTACGTAGTGACTGGGGAAGGTCCTTGTATTTTTTTTTTTGGTCTTTTTTTTTTTTATTTGTACTATTGTAACATGTGAACTTACATAGTAAGCTCAAGGACGCATGGTAACATAGTTAACAGCTCATAAATGCTGCAAAAAAATATCTCCTAAAAACACAAAGAGCTTTCAACCTGTGTTTTTCTTTTTTTTTTGTGGGTGAGGGGATTTTTTTCCTTTGGCTTTTTGTTTGTTTGTTTTAAAGAGTCAAGGAAGCTATGGAATAGGCTCCAGACTCTGTAAAATGGTGGGCTCTTAGTTTCCACTGGAAACAGTCACACATAAATAGCTCCAAAATTACTCCTGGATGAGGACCATGTCCCCACAGGAGCACACTCTGAGGTATGGCACAGGAGCCACACCATACAGGAGGACATGGGACTTCCCTGGGGAGTTGCTCTCTATGGCCAGAGCACAGCCTGCTTTTGCTTGGCCTTGGTCAAGAGGATGTGCCAAGAGCTGTGAAGTCCCCCTCTCCCAGACTTGCCCTCCTGAGTTTGGATTGTAGCACACTGCCTGTCATTTTAGGATAACCCTTTTAGACTTACATCTCCTTGAATTTCTGGCACAAACACTTTTTTCTTGCCTTCACAAGAGTGGTGTAGTTCCTAGTTAATTATTAAGCTATAAGGATATAGGAAACAAATGTTAAAATTCCTCCTGATAGATACTGCATCTGCCACCTCCCAAGAGCCAGCCCTAAACAGCAAGTTATAAATTATTTGAAGCACTCAATGTCCCTGTGAAAGCTGTTCCACTTAATGTAAAACATTCTAATCCTACATATATTAATTAAGAAATCGGACCCAGGTTCTGTACCTGCCTCCACCTTTTTTTTTTTTTTTTTTTTAATCTCACACCCCCATGACCCGAGTCACTCCTCAGGCTCCCTCAGGTGTTTCTGCTTACCCTAAAACTGGCCAGTTTTCTAAGCTGGGGATAATCAAGCAGAAGATAACAGTTCTCCCAACCTTTGCTACAGCAGCACTACTGGTATCAGGTACTTCAGGAATTGTGTCTTCTGCTTAGCATGCTGTGCTTAGGTGTTTTTTCAATATTTCAGAGTGTAATCTTAAACACTGGTTGAGAGAAGTACTAGTTCAGAGTAGCACAGCAGCCTCCACTCAGTAATATTTTTGGAGGAACAATGAACCCAAAAAAAAAAACCCACCTGAAAATCTGCCTTCTTTATGTAAGCCTAGCAGCTCTGGTGCTCTCTATCTATGCAATGTCACTTTCAGCTTCTCTTGAGTCAAGGCACAGAAGTGGCAGGTGCATGGGTACCTGCAGCTTACCCCCACTGGAGCCTAAGTCACGGATGCAACCATGAGCACTGTACCTGCAGGGTTACAGCAACTTTGTCACCTGGAAATAATCTGTCTCACCTGCTTGATGAGTTTGACTCTGCCAGCTGAATCCAGCTGTCTGATTTGGGCTGTGGGGAAAGGGGAGGGTTAAAACAGGGTAGCAGGTCACTTTGCAATACTTGTTTTGCACACTGATTCAGTCAATTGTCTTAATTTCACTACTTTGGGAAACACTCATAACTGGGACTTAAAATTCAATTGTTATTTCTGATTTTTATTTAAAGAATTTACTTATCTTGCTACATTGACATGATAATTTGCTGATTGGCTGCACTCATTTTATGACCCATATAATTAATTTTGAATAATTTGGTTCAATTTTAATTGACATTGATTTGATAATTAAATGTAGATTTTCGCTTCTCTAGTCCACTCCTAGCAACACATTTCATTCTTTGCTATTAATACACTTCACAAATCTGTTTTCATTTTTCAGACTACCAACTCAGACTAAATGTCTGAAGAATATAAAATAAATTAGATGGTTCAGCTAATGACCTACTTACCTCAATCGAAACTTTTTGTCTCCTTCTTAAAGGGCAATCAAATGGTGTAATGATATGCAAAGATTTAAGAATTCCAAGTCACTCATCATGAGGTAACACTTGCTTCTAACCCAAAATAAAAAGTTAACTTAATCTTCAAATGAACATATCTCATTGTCTGCTTATGGATTTAATTTTACCCCTACTACAGCCACTATGATTTTGCTACAGATATTAGGCCTAAGTCCCCCCAGTCCCTCCACACCTCAATCTTTCCTATGAAAGAGCTGGTTTTGATGTGCACTTTATGCATTGTTATAAAAACAAAACAATCCAGGAAACACATTACTTTATAGATATAATATTTATGCTGTTAGTAAGTCCTGTGTCTGTATGAAGCTGTACCTCCCTGAATGCATTGGCCTGCTTTTTTTAATTTTTTTTTTTGTTGTTTCTGCAGTGTCTCTTAATAATGTAGAGGCCACCAAGTATTCTATCTTGTATCAACCCAAACCACATTTAAATAAGCTCCATTAAGTTCCAGAAAGAGACAGAATCTGGTGATGAAGATCACATTCTAATAAATGTATTAATACCAAAGGTGCTGTGTCTGACCTGTAAATCAAGGTACTTGTACATAAGAGGTCTCCTCTGGTGGTAAGTCATGCCTCAAAAATGCAGTCATGAAGCAGATGGATGATTTCACTAATAATGGCACTGCACTAAGAAAAGCATGCCTTCCTGCTGATTTAAATAAGATTTATTTAAATACTCATGAGTACTTGATGCTGAGCAGGTGACTTGCCTTAAGGTCAGCTCTTACGGAAACAAAGCATGACTAAAAAGGGCTACCAAGACTAATCCTAGTAACTGGCGTTGGATTAAATCCTGAAATAACAGCGAAAAGCACAAAATAAACATAGCATAAGTTTAACAATACGGGCAAACCTAGGCTTCTGCTGAATAGGACGAGCTTGGAAGATGAAGGAAAATAAAGGTTCTTTCAGTGTGATTAGGCTGCATGTGTTCAAATGTAAACTGCAGTATGGATGATTACTTATCTTGTCCAAGACGGGGCTCATTTAAACATTTTGGTATGCTCAAATGCCATTTAGAGTTAACTTACATTAAGGGCAATCAAGACAGCCTGATACTGACAGATAACAATTTCTTAAAATGCTTGAATGAGCCACACCGGGTCTTTCCTGACTGGCGAAGCTGCAAATGTGGATCTTCAGTAAGACCCTTGCAGGAGAAATGTGAAACCTGGAATAAAGATACACAAGAGTTATTAGGGCATACACCCTTTTTTTAGTGGAATAAACATTGAACATGTTATTAAGATGAATTTTTTATGTTTAGGCTCATGTCTTTACAGAAAAAAAATGGGTACATCACTTCCATTGGCTTTAGCACCATCTATCTGAGAAAGACACTCTAGAATATTCCAGAGAGAGCAGGGTGACTTTTCACCAGCTCAATTATCCTTTACATTGCTCTGGCAATGTAAAAATTCTCTAGTATTAAAAAGAACCCAGACTCACACATTGATTTTGCTGCCTATTTAAAGCACTAAACCCTACTACAGCTTAGCATTATTAGTAGCAAGAATCCTGTTGGCCTGAACTAGCAACTGTATAATCCAACAGTACAGTTGCCTATGCAACACATTCTTCAACTTCATCAGACACTTTCAGGCCCAATTACTGACAACAAAGCTTATTAACTGGGCTTAATTTGGAAAATTGGTCTATTTTGTACTGGATTAATTATTATACATGTCAGTAACAACATACTTGAAAGGTTAAAATTCCTAGGTCGAGCCTGATAATCTGGCAGCAATTGGTTCCACAGCTGGAGACTGCTTATTCATAAATCCATGTATAGCTGCAACCGTAGTCATCACTGAAACCTGGAGAAAGGAGCAGCTTTCTGGCCTGTGCAAGACTCAGACTGGTGACAGCCACCGATTTCCAATGTGCTTTGCTAAAAAGGTAACTGTCACAATCATAATTTCTACTTCACAGGCAGACAGGAAGGGACGCACAAGGATGTGGTGTCCCAAGATGCCTGATACAAACAGAGCCAGGCAGAGAATTAAGTTTCTGATTACTGGCTTTTGGCCACTGGTTCCCAGTGAGAAATTGTTTCTGCTATGTTTCTGCTGCTTCACTGGAGACCAGCAGCCATCAGCATAGCACTGAACACATGGTTGCTAACATTTTTGCATTAGCCTGTTCTACTCCACAGGCTGGCCATGGTATCTCTACCAGTGACAGAATCCTTGGACTTCCTTGGTCAGGCTTCAGCAAAGTGCATCACAGTAGTCAAGTCTGAAAATGTACGGATCAGATCATGGTCTAAATCCTCCTCTAACAGGGAGGAATGCACTGTAAGACTGCAATATGTCCTCAAGAGGACCTATTTAAAATAGATATTAAAAAGAGCACATCACCAGCATCTGGTTTTGATGGGGTTTGTGGGTATCATAGTCCTGTAGGTGAGCATTTTGCTTGTCCAGCGAGCAGAGCACTGAGTGCACAGCTGTGTGCAGTGACTGTGTGCACTACACAGTGCCTTTGGGGGAAAAGAAGCCTGGGCTGGGCTACAGCAGCATTCAAATAACACCTGCCATCACACTACAGCTGTTCTTCACAGTGCTTTAGGGCAGCTTTCTTCTCCTGGGGCCTGCACCCACCCTGTGTCTGGCATGTCAGAATGAGGGGCTGGGGAATGCCTGGCTCTGCCAGCTGCTTTGCGGTGAATTGTTTAATTCCTGCCTGAAGGTGGGCTTCAGAAAATGGAACAGTAAGAGGTGTTTGGAGAAACATCAGGGAGAAAAAGTCATATGGAAAGGGACCCTATTGGTCTCAACTCCCTAACAGGAGGTTGTAGCCGGGCGAGGACCGATTTCATGTCACAAGCAGCAGGTGATGGGACCAGAGGAAACAGCCTCGAGTTGTACCAAAGGAGATCTAGGTCAGGTTTTTGGGAAAATTTCTTCATGGTTGTCGAACATTGGCAGAGGCTGCCAAGGGCAACGGTGGAATCACCTTCCTGAAACGTTCAAAAACCATATGGACGTGACCCTCGGGGACAAGGTTTAGTGGTGGCCGTGGCAGTGCTGGGGGAACGGCTGGACTCAAAGATCCTAGAGGTCTTTTCCAATATAAATTATTCTGTAATTTCCAGATGCATATATATTTTTTAAAAACCAGCGTATCTATCTACGTATTCGTAGATAGATATCTATCTACGAAAGCTATTTTAACAGCTAAAAATCCCAAACGTAACATCCCAAGCACAGGCACTCAACGGTATACGCGGGAGTCCAGCCGGAACAACACCACGCTCGGGGGGAAGGAGGGAGAAGGCGGAGAGGGGAGGGCAGAGCAGCCCAGCCCGCCCTCTATTCCTCTAGCCCTCCCTCTCTCCCTCCCTCCCGCCTTCGGGCGGCCGGGTGCGGCGCTGCGTCTCCTCCAGCCGAACCGGGCCGTCCCCGCGGCGGCCTTCACCCTCCTCCCCTTCCCGGCGGCGGGGCTGGGGCCGGGGCCTGCCCGCGGCCCCGGGAGGAGATGGAGGCGGCGGCGGCGGCAGGGCCGGGCGGCGGCGGCAGGGGCTGAGCGGGGCCGGGGAGCCGCCGCCGCCCGCCGCCGGGCGGAGGGGATGCGCCGGCAGCCGGGGCCGCCCGAGCGGGCCGGCCGTGCCGCCGAGTGAGGCGAGAGCCGCCGCGGGCCGGGCTGCGGCAGCGGCGCTGGAGGCCCGGTAAGTGCGGAGGGGCCGGGCAGGGCCGGGGGGAGGCCTGGCGGCCGCCAGCCTGAACAGAGGCTCCTCCGGCACCCCGGGTCGGGCGGGGAAGCTAGCGGGCGCTGCGGGCATGTGCTGTCCTCTCTGCCGGGTGGGTGAGGAGAAGCCCGCCCAGCTTCGTCCTCCTCCTCCAGAACGGGAAAAGTTTATGTCTGTTCATCCCAGGTTCTTGAGCCGGGAGCTGGGCTGGGACCGGGGCAGGGCATTGCCTCGGCTCGTCCCTGCCGGCCAGAGCACGGCCCTGTTCCCGTCTGCTTGGCGGTACCGCTCCGTTCTTACGGAATGAACGGAGTCCCCATGAAGGCTGGACGCTGCCGTTCCCAGCTGCGAAGGGCTGCAGCGGGAGCTGGGTCTGTCAGACAGGGCACGGCTGCAGAGGGCAGGCGGGTGCCGGTCGCAGCCCGGGGCCGCACGCCGGGCCTGCCCCGGGCCGAGCGGGGCACGCAGCAGGTGCCGGCGCTCTGCCCTGCTCCTCGGTTCGCAGCCCGCTGGAGGTGAGCTGCGTGCGCAGGGAGCGCTCCGGGCCCCGGCGGGAGCTGGAAGAGCAGACACACAGGCCTTTGGGAGGAGGAGAGCCTGAGGAAGGAACCAGCCTGTTATGCTGTATGTTAGGACGTTAAGTAGCACCACGCAGCTTGCCAAAGGAGCGTCTGTGATACATGTCAGTCTGAATTTTTTTTTTTAAGTATAACAAATTGGCCAGATTTTCTTACCTGTAAAATAACACCAAGGAAGCATTGATGAAAATGAAGTAGGTTGTCCCAGTTAGCTGTTGCTTGGCCTTCCTTACCAGTTCCATTCCCAGTGACGTGAGTCATCATGTGCTGATGGGCAAGCAGTTGGGAGTTTGAGCCTCCTGGCGTGTCACTGCCATTGACGATGCGTGCAGGGATTGTCCTGCCAAGGCGCCCCTGTGCAAGCAGCATAAGCTGCAGAGCCAGAGACTGTGCACCGAGTTTTAATGCTGCTTACATCGTTTGCCCTTTGTCCCATCATTCACTTGAAGACAGCAGTCTTCTGCAAAGAATGAGTGTTTATTCAAGGTAGCAGGTTATTTGCGGGCCTCGGGTGAAGCCCGCAACTCTGTCTCTTGATCTTTGGTTTATGTTTGTGTTGGGGTGTGTGTGTTGGTGATCTCATTTTTTCTCATGCAAAACTCTTCATCTGGCTAATCTGAGGGTTTTGTGATAGTTTGCCCTTGTGGTAGCCGTGAGAGGGAAGGACAGAAGAATGGGTGGGGACAGGAGTTTTGAGACCTCATGCTCCTAAAAAGTGTAGAACTGCAATAAGAGGGAGAAACTAACCAGAAAGCTGTGTATTTCATGATGAGAAAATGGAATAAACCTTCAACGTATTTCTGGCTTTTGTCTACTTGTAAAGAAGAATTATGTTTTAGACAACCAGAAATAGAAGACTCTTTTGGAAGCTGAAGGAGCCTTTTAAAGAGAAAAAACAGAAGTTAGTACCTGTATTTACTAGAAAATAAGTGCAGGGTAGGCAACAGAAATGCAGTAAGGTTACAGATAAAATAGGGAATGTAATTGCCCTATGTGAAAACAATAAAAATATTAAGGTAGAGACAGAGAAACAGCATAAACACATTATTTTTTTTCTAAGTACTGGTTGTTGCATTTAAGTGAGCATAATGGCTGAGGTACCCCTCTCTATTCTCTAACTTTGAATAGTTCTGCTTCTTGAGATCAGTGAGGAGCTGCTGATACAGATGTACTTTAGGATGCTAGAAGTAACAGTGTAGTAACATAATAATTACAATATGACAGCTCCTCTGACAAGACTCTTACATTCATGAGTATGGTTGCAGATTTCCTGTGCTCATTAAAAAAAAAATAAAAAAGAGCAGACAAAACTGCTTAATGTTTTCCTCTTAATGCTTTCCTTCCTCGTCTTGGAGGGTAAAAGTGGTGGTTCATATGGATGGGGCTGCAGTTCTGACCCCTTCCTGCTCTTTAAGCCATGTTCTTAAGGTGAGAATTGTACTGCTTGTCGGTGACTGGCTGAAATGCTCTCCTGTCCCTACAGCACAGGACCTGGCAGCAGGGTCCTCTCTCCACTAACTGCATTTCAGGTCAGAGCACACAAGAACTGCATTTCCCATGTGATTTAACACAATTTCTTAGAAATCCAATACATAAATTACATGAGGGGATATAGATCAGTAGTCCCTACTGAATGGTGTGCATCCATCATTGTTACAGAAGTGGGCAGACTAGCAGGGATGCTGTGAATGTTGGAGACCATTTCTACCTTGCTTTATCTAGGACAAATATACTGAGTTGGGCAGAGAGATTTGGCCAGACTTTTCATTATACCTCTGAAAAGCCCATAGCTGATTGTTAGAGATTTTCCTCCTGCAGAGTGTTCTCTGCAAGCTTCTGTCAGTCTGCTGCATTCAGCATTTTGAATGTTGAATAGTTCTCATGGTTTTAGCTACCTAAAAAGTAAAAAATGTCATTGCTACAGTTCTGTCTTGATATCATATCTGAATTTTTGTCTTCTGTGAGAGCTGGAAATGAATGTGATGTCTGAGGGGAAAGATAACGTCTCAGTGCTTAAGTGGAAGATGGTGCATTTCACAGCAGACTGAAAAATGAGGATTTTTGAGACCTGGTGGTTTTCAGCATGAATCTTAGGGCAGGCTTGCACTAGTGCAGTGGTAGGATGGGAATAACTTTTGAACTACTTAGCTGAAAAGAGGCCAGTCTGATGGAATTCCTATGATATTTGTATTTCCTGGTCAACAGTTTTCCAGATCATGAAGACTAAACATGTTTGGGATGTTGCATGATCAGTTGTCAGCCAGGGAATTGCAGCAAAAAACAGGAGATGACAAACATTGCTTAATGGAGATCACAGCACCTGCAGTTGTCCAAAAAACAATTAATACTTAGGTGTGGTGTTTTTAGAAGTACTTAAAAATGGACTCAAGAAAGAAGAGGGGTCAAAGAAAGGAAACTTTCAGAAGCTGAGCTGAAAAATAAGATAAAAATAAGCCTGAACACTGCCATCATTGCTAATTATTTTTCACCTTTAAGTGGAGATATTCTGTTCTTTTCATTCTCTTACCCATTTTGCACACATCGTTTGGGTTCCAAGGTCTGTTTTGAACTGCTTGACTACCTGCAGAGGTTTTTAGCATATCCTGAAGATGGTTCACTGCTGTCAGCTGTGGAGAGAATTCTTCCTGGAAATATTTGCATTGCTGGAAGGCAAAAGCTAGTTGGAAGAGCACTGGCACCTGTAGCAGTAGCAGTGATGTTGCAGGTGGACATGCTGAAACACTTACTTCTGTTATTGGAGCTTCGTGGGAGTGGAGAAAGTGGAATACTGGTATATGACTGAGAAGCTTAATAAAGACTTTCTCGGAAGTGTTAACTTTTTTTTTTTTTTTTTTTTTTTTTTTTTTTTTTTTTTTTTGCATCATAACTGGGAATGAGGGCATTTCTTGTATTTCTTGGCAGTTCAGTTAAATGCCAGTATAGAAATTGTAATCACAAACCATGCAGACATGACTCTCATTGAAGTTGCATGTGGCTACTTTAGGACTGAGTTTGATCCTATTGCTAGTTATAGGATTGTTGTGAGGATGTCATTGTATGAGATTTTTGTAGTAGAGGCTCTTTGGTTAAATGCTTGGATGTTGTGTTGCATGTGTTCTCAAAAAGGAAGCATTCACTATTTTCAGCACATGAGTTTAGCCCCTCAGGTGTCTTATCTCTCCACCAACAGTGGAGACAATAGTGCTATATTTTTGTAGGTTTTGGATGTGGGTTGTTTTTTTATTTGCAGTAGAGCTTTCACAGATACCTGGTGTCCACCCCTGTGTGTATTGCCCATCAGAAGTTGGAAATTCAGCTAAAGATACAGCCTAAAATTTTCTATTTCTCTTAGAGGCTGGGAACTTCAATCTTTTTTATAATTGATTTCCTTATATTTAATCTTACAGTCATAGAAAAAAAAAATTAAGATAGCAGTTTCAAAAATCAGGATAGAACTGCATGTATTCAGTCAGTTCCTGTGGGTGGTTTCTTTGCACATTAAAACTGCAGTCTCAATTGTTTGGGTAACCCTTCTTGCACTCCTGAGGAAGTTCTGTCTTTGGGGCTTACCTGCAGGGAAACAGCTACAGGTAGTAGGCAGTGCTGCAAGGACACTGAAAAATACCTGGTCAGCTTAAGCTGAGTGTTCCAGCTTGGTAGCTTCCAGCCTGTGATTTCTGTAGGCTGGGCAGGGGAAGAGTCCGTGTTACATGTCATAAGCTGACTTGGGATAACCAAGTATAGTGTTAATGTTACATGCACCACTGAGAGCACAGCTTACCTCATTCTCCCTTCCTTTCCTACAATGGGCTGTCTTGCTAAGCTGAATCAAAAAATAAACTCTTCTTTAAAAAAAAATGGTGTTTTTGATCTATCTCTCCAAGCAGTCAGACAATGCTATTCCCAGCACAAGCAGGAGTGGGGAATGTGTACACAGGGGTGAAGGAGTGAAGCCTCTCTTTGATAGCAGTCAGTGGTTACATTGTCTCAGCCTCAATGTTGCTTAAAAATATGGCTGAATGGACAAAAAGTTAAACGTGGAATCTCCTGCTATGTTTTATGACACACATACATATGAAAGTTTTTTATTTTTGGTTATGGAAAGTATTTTTTCTAAACTGTAACAAAAATAATAAATGTGTAAATCTTTTCTATTTCAAACAGGGAGTGCCAACTTTATATGGCTCACATCTGACAACATGCACCACCAGTGGCTGCTGCTAGCTGCATGCTTTTGGGTGATATTCATGTTCATGGTTGCTAGCAAGTTTATCACATTGACTTTTAAAGACCCAGATGGTAAGTTTGGCTTTAATGTTTGATGTGAAACAGAAAACTGAATAGCGCTTCACAAAAATACTCATTTCTGTGAAAATAGTTCTTGGCATGTTATCACTTCTTCGTTAGGACTGAGAACAGAACAACTAAATTTCTGGAAGTGACAATGCTGATATTCAGCTCTTTTTTTTGTTAGAAGTCTGCAAATCGAACATCACAGGAGATTTTTTTTGTTGGTTAAGAACAGAAGGGATCATGTTTGGCAGTACTGAAAAACTTGCTTTTTCAAATACATTTAGTTTCAGTATCATGATCTACTAGGCTTAGAAGCTATGTGCAAAAACAACAGAGCACTATTACCTGTTTGAAGTCAGAAGAGACTCAGAGGGTACTGAAGAGTTAATTTCACATTATACTAGTTTCTTGTATGGGGTTTTTGCTGATTTTCTTGTGGCTGAGGCATTATGTAAAACTTGTGGAAAGTTTTATTTCATTTGCAGTGCACTTTGCCTAGCCACCTCTGGCCTGCTTCTTGCATTCAGTTTTATCCCCTGCTGTTTGACTTGTAAACAGCTTATAGGCTTTTGCTTAGCTTAAGTAGCTGAGATGTTATTAAGATGATGAGGAATTTAAGCCATTTGATGATTGATGACACCACACAGTATGTTACTTTTGTGTCTGCTTGGGAGCTGCTCTTACAAAGTCACCCTAGAGAGACTTTTGGGTGAAGGTGATGATATGACTTCAAGTGTTAAAAGATCTGTGTTTCTGCATCTTCCTAAGACATGTAAAAAATATGCAACTTTTGAAGATTTGACACTTGTGCCATGTTTTTCAATGACTTGATAATGGATAAATACATTAGATGTACCTTTATAAATAATATGCATGTATGTGAAGATTTATTCAGCAAGCCTTACAGAGGAGAAATGTAGACTAACTTAGCTTTGCTTGGACCCAGCTGTTCTGTCCTCATACGTCTGCAAATCAGCTACTCTTATGTTAGATAGTTATATCTTCCAGTATCTCACTCTATGACGACTCTTGTTTCCCAGTTCAGGTATTCTTTGCGTGTCTATTTTCATCAGGATTTGTCAGGAAAATTAAAATGTAGTTTAAAAAATAATTACTAGAGCATAGCTCCTGCATTTATTTGCTTTTTATTATCTTGGCTTGCCAAGTTTTTTCTCTTTTTTTTTTTTTTTTTCCTGTGCTGAATCTTCCACTCCTTTTGAATAGTTCTCTGAGCAGATAATACATAAACTCTTAAGCTTGTCCTGCAAAGGCATGATTATAGTTAAGTGTATATATGTGTTGGAGTGTTTGGAATAAAACTAATTAAGGGAAATGCTTTGAATATACCAACAGAATTATGGAGGAAGTCCAAACAGGATGGCAAATCCTGAAGAAGCTCTTCTAGACTTAATAAAATACGACTTGTCAGAAATTTTTCTTATTTGGATGTGTCTTCCTAGCAGATGGAATAAAACCAGCAGATGCTCAATGAATCAGTGTTATTTTGTTTAAGCCTTTTACTGATGTCTTGGGTGCATGAGCAATAGGAACTTCTTAAGGTGCGAGTTTCTGTCCATTGTTGGTAGCAGCATCTACAGGCATGCTTTTATACAACGATAGTGGAAAAAGAGTTTAGCTGCTCTTTCACTGAATCAGATTACTTGTATTTTACAGAAGAATGCCATGAAGCAGGTCTGTGCACAGCAACAATTACAGTTTCTGAATGCTTGAATGCTTACATTGCTTTCAGTTTTAACTTGCTTTTCCATGCATGCCCTTTGTTAAAATCCAGTGTAGGCAGAGTAGAGTACTCCTTGAAGAAAAGGACATAGGCAGTGCACACATTTTCTCAACCATGAAACAGTAAGCCCCTGTGGATGCAGATGAGGAAACATTATTCACAGAAGAATCTATGTGAAGGGAAAAGTAAGCCAATATGGATGGAAATAAATTTGCATGGAGAAAACATGTTCTTTTTGCTTTGTAGTTAGGGAAAGCTGCTTCAAATTATTTTTTATTTTTCTGCACTGTGTAGACTAAAGCTAAAACCTTGTGTTATTTTTTGGTTTTTCTGTACAATACTAAATGCAAAAGATGAAAAGGGTTCTTCCTTACATGCTTTAATTTAGCTGTCCTAAAATCACTAAAAAAAAAAATAGGAATATCAGCTGAGTTTCTTGTTGTAAGAATCTCTAAGGAAGGCCATTGGTCCAAGTAATAAAGGAAGAGGGGATCTTTATTGTTGATTATAGATTCTTACTTAGAGTACCACAGAAATAAAAGGGTGTCCATAATGACACTTTTCTTTTTTCAAATTTAATAGTCTACAAAAGAAGAAACGTTTTTACTAGTATAAGGGGAGAAAGGAACCTGATAGATTTAAGTTTTTATTTGGACGTGCTTTGGCAAGTTCATTGAAAAATAAAAGTCTCCTATGCAGAAGTCCATATAGTTATATCAAATTGTCTATGAGTTGCGATTTGGATTCAAGACTTTGATGCCTCTGCACACTTTCTAGAAAAAAAGCAAAGAAAACAATAAAAAAACCAAGTAAAAGATAATGGGTATGTTTCTTTGATAAAACTCAAATGAAGTTGCATCCAAAATTCTCAGAGTATATCCTTTAAAATATTCATAGTCTTTATTTGTCTTGTCTATTATCATTCCATGTAGAAACATATCCTACTAGTGTTTTGTAAGGTTAATACAGAAAGTAAAGTTCATGTGTTTTAGTTATAAAGCAGAAATAGTTACTTTCCCCTCACCTTCTGTAATGCTGTTATCTCTCCCTTTAGGCTATGGTACCAAGCAAGAGCCATTGATATTGACAGCTGTGACAAAAGTGGAGGAGGTACATGTGCCAGAGGAAAAACATTGGCCTGAAGAATTCCAGGTGCAGACTGTTGAGATAAGGGTTATGTGTATTAAAGAGTAGAAGAAAATAAGAGATTAAGGAAGGGCTTCCTGTTGTTAAGATGAATTGCTAGAAAGGAATTATTTATTCAGACTGTTCTATTTAGGTAGAGCCGACAGAATTCATTTTTACTTCACAAAGCTGGTTTGTTATGGTAACCTGCTGTCTTGTATCATCTGAATGATTCAACTTAATGTGTTTCCATTTCTAGGAGAAAATTGTTACAGTACTCCTTTATCAATTCAGGACAGTCGTTTTTGTTAGCCTTTTTAATATTATGGCCCAGTTTTGGATTTCTTGTGTTCTATCTTGCCATACCGATCAGGTTTGTGGTTGTTGAGGGCAAGCCTGTGTCTGCTCTATTCTCTTAGATTTCTGCCCAATCTCTCTGTTTCTTTTTATCGCTGTCAATTTCTTCTTTGTATTTTGTGCTCTTTGTGTTTCACATTTCAGTATTTTTCCAAAGTAGAGCATGAACACAATAGTAGTCAATACCAGTTGATCTTTTAGATGCATAGTTCTGTGCTTTCAGCAAATTGACAATGAAACTCTGAAAATCCTTTATACAAATGTAAATTTGAGACCAATTGCAGAGTGCACTAAATAATTTTTTTCTTTTTTTACATTAGTACATAAGTAATCTTGTATTTAAAGTATTTTTATGATGCATCATGGAAGGTAGGTTAGGTGTGTAAATGTGATTCTTCTTGTTTTCATTTTTCAAAAGCACAAAATCTAAGTTACCTTCAAAATACTTGGGAAAAACACTTTGTTCAGTGGAAGGTAAGTATGTATAGAGAGTTTTAATAGCTTTCTTTACTAGTATGGAAGAGGATAATAAGGTTTCTGGATCTAAAACAATTCCCTCTTGACTTCCTGACAGCACGGAACATAGACTAACAATATTAATTTTGGTTACATGCAGAAAGAATTGTTTGGACAGATAAAATAATCTGACAGATGGTTCAAATTACATTCTGAGCATCTGGGGTATTGGAGGAGAGTAACAAACAGAAAAAGTAGATTTTTTTTTTCCTCATGAAAGGTTGGGACAAAAAGTATAATAATTCCTTTTTCATCTGTAGCTTGGACATGGAACCTAAAATCATATAATCCTAGAATGGTTTCAGTTGGAAGGGACTGTTGAAGATCATCTAGTTCCAAGCCCTCTGCTATGGACAGTGACACATTTCATTAGCCCAGGTTGCTCAGAGCCCCATCCCACCTGGCCTTGAACATTTCTGTGGTGGGTCATCCACAGCTTCTCTGGGTAACATGTTCCAGTGCCTGGCCACCCTCAGAGGAAAGAATTCCTTCCTAATGTCTAAACCTGCTTTTTTTTCAGTTGAAAATCGTTACCCGTGTCTTGTCACTGCAGGCCCTGGTAAAAAATCTGTCTTTCTTACAAACCCCTTGTGAGCATTGAAGGGCTGCAGTGAGGTTTTCCTAGAGCCTTTTCTTCTCCAGGCTGAACAGCTGCAGCTGTCTTGGCCTGTCTTCATGGGAGAGGTACTCCATCTTGGACCATCTTCATGGCCTCCTCTGGACCTTCCCTTAGCAGGTCCATGTCTTTCCTGTGCTGGGGCCTCAGGGCTGCATGCAGCACTCCAGGTGGCAGTAGAGCATAGTATGGGGGATAATTGCCTCCTCTGACCTGCTGGCCACTGCTTTTTTTATGCAGTCCATGGTGCAGTTGGCATTCTGGGCTGCAAGTACACACTGCCAGGACATATCCAGTTTTTCACTCATGAGTGTCCTTAAGTCCTTGGCAGGGTTGATCTCAATCATCCCCTAGGCTGTATTGATATTGGGGATTGCCATTCAGTTAGTGGATAGGTGAAAATTTGTCAGTAGAAATTTCAACTTTCCTATCACCTCTTAAGTAGAGAAGCTCCTTTTTCCTCTCCACTGGTTGTGAGGCAAAAGGTGATTGTGGTTCCTTTCTTAGTCTCTGAAAAATGAGACATGTGAAACAGCTCATCCATTTTTGAGGAGAGGTATCCTGCTACTTCTTTTATTTGTCATACTGATGCTCATTGTTCACATTTTTATTTACCTGATTTTATTTCAACTTGGATAAATGGAAACACTGAATGCCTAGAGGTGCTAGAAAACAACACAACACAGATCTTTCATCCTAATTTTTTTTCCCAGCTAGATGAGTCACAAAATATTCTGAGATGAAACAGACCAACAAGGATCATACAGTCCAACTCTTAGCCTGCACAGTATGTTCCCAGGAATCACACCATGGTCAGCCCCATCTTCTCAGAGCTTAAAGCATAATTTATGTTGAAATTCCTGTACTAACCTCTCAAAAACTTTCTTACAGCTTGTTGAAACTCTGTGGGAGTTCCAGTATTTGATCAAGGCATGTTTTAGCCACACAAATAAGGCTCTGCTGCTGTGCAGCAGACTTAAATTGTTGTATGGAAAAGCTCTTACTATATACTACCATGTAATGTCTTAAGGGCTGAACCAAAGTGCAGCAGCAGCACAGGAAGCAAACAGTGAGCTACTCCTTTAGTTAATACGTAGCAATGTTTTAATCACGAATCTGGGAGTCATTAGGGTGCATAGTTTGGGGATTTTTATACTTTAGAATTTGATTTGACAACTAAAGTCTTTAACTCTTGTTTTTTCTTTCTCTTCTGCATTTCATAAAGCCAACTGGAAAAGCTTTTTCAGGAAATCTGATCCGCCAGCCCCTGGTTCATATGGAAAGACTTGAGCTTCTCAGGAATGTCTGCAGAGACGCTGCATTGAGAGATCTCTCTCATACTGCAGTTTCCAAATTTGTCTTGGACCGAATATTTGTGTGTGACAAGCACAAGATCCTGTTTTGTCAGACACCAAAAGTGGGCAACACTCAGTGGAAAAAAGTTTTGATCGTTTTAAATGGTATCTACTTTTCTGTGGGTGTGTGGCTTTCTTTGAGGAGGAGGAGGAGGAAACGGAATTGCTCTAACTGGGGCAACTGAAATGGATTCTTTCTGCATTTCTGTACACTGATACTTAATTTCAGCTTTTCATTTATCACAGTTATTTCTAGTCTATTCAAAACATCCCCTTAAAATTAGATCTGTTCTTTCTGTAAAAGTAAGTATTGTTATTACTAGGCTCTAAAGTTATTTGAGTCATGACAGACTACCCATATGCATGTAGAACATAGGTTTCTTATCTTTGAAGTGGTGCACTAAATTATAGAATTTGAAAGTGTATTACAAGGTATTGCTAAGTAACAATAACATGAAATTTCTGGCTAAAGGCCAATGACTTTTAACTAGAGATTTTAGCCATGAAGAAAGCCAGTTAAAAATTGGCGGCTCCTGTTGGGCTGTCTTGCTGAAATCTTGTGTGTGTTCTGTCAGTGAACCATCTTAAGAGTTATGAAGATTCTGAGGTGCTTAACACAATAGTTTGGTCACCAAAGGTCTGTTATAAAAGATAGTGAAAAAAGGATTAAGAGGTAAGTGTGTTTGAAAAATTAGCAAATGACCTGTGTCCCTCAGCAATGCTTTTCTAGCAAGCAGTACTAACATTAAAAACTTTAATGTTAATTTCATCCTTGATCTATGGATGTGAGCTAAAATCTAGCAGAGATTCTCATTCATGTACGTGTATATTTCTTAATACCTATGAAAGCCACAAAGTACTAAATATGGAACCATGTAAGGACATTGGAAGTACCTGCTCTTAGCAGCATTTGAGAGGTAACATGCAAAGAATGGCTCAGGATGGGCAGGCATGTATTGGCTATGCTGAGTAGAGGATAATTCACATCTTAACAGCAGGGTTTCACCTTGAGTTTCCTAGTTCTGTCATGTTGGATAATGATAGAAAACTGCTTCCACATAAACACTGGTCTCTTTTGCTTTAAGCTGCCAGCATTGGTATCTGCTGATGAAGGTTACTGCTGTAGTTGACCTAACTTTCTCTCCTCTTTGGGTAGACTCAGAAGGCAAGGCTGATACTTGAGGGGAATAATTTATGTACAAATGCCTAAGTGGTATTTGGAGGTTCAGGAGGGGGAAATGCAGCTGTAGCACTGTGAGGGAGCTAACTGCTACTGCTTGTACTGTGTTCTCTGAATGAATGCAAGGTATCGGTTTCTGAGGGTATCTCATCTGACATCTGTTGTCCACATGTGATTCACCTATGGTACCAAAAAATACAATTGAAAACTTGAAACCGATAAAATACAACCCCAGTCCCTACCCCTCACCCCTGCTCCCTCTAGGAAAAAAAAAAAAAGAAATTCGGAAAACTGAGCCGCTGAGTGGTGTGTGTTATTCACTCCAGTTCTGGAAACAAGAAGGCTGTAGAGGCATTCACTTAACAGGCTTGTTTTGTAGCACTCTGTGCTTGTTGCAGGTTGATATTCTGAAACAATGCTGTTGTGTGAAGGCTTATACCTAAAGCCCAGGGGGACACATGAGATGTTTCTCAAGGCCATAAAACCTTCCAGGATCAGGATACTAAAATCAACACAGCAGAACACAGCTCATGTGCTTGCAGAAATGAGTATCTGGAGACTTATGTTGTTAATTTTAGTGCCTTTTAATCTGTGGAGTATTCTCTGATTGGAATTTTTGTTTCAGCACAGCATACTTGTTAAAAAAAACTTTATGGATCCTGAAAGCAAAGTACTTTTGCACTGAAACAGTTCCAAAAGCAGCTCATAGCATTTATTTTTGTTGGTGGTTGAAGCTTAGCCAAAAATCTGGTTCCTTCTTCTGAGTTAATCCTGAAAGTCCTCCTCCATTTATATGTGCAGGCAGAGGGAAAGAGAATGGGGACACTGGCATGTGAGGAGTTACAGGCTTAGACATAATTGCTGATGAAATTTGCATAATATGCTTTTCTGAGAATTTTGGGGCCATTTGGTCTTGGACCTTGATGTCACATACCCTGAAGAATTTTAACAGTTTTCAGCTTTGCAGTCAGAATCTCTCATAATTCAACAGTTTTAAACACAGTACCTTTAAATGGTAAAAATAAAGACAAAGACATAAAACTGTCAGCCAAAGGCATGCATGCTTGCTTATGCTCACTGTTGTTTTTTTCCCCTTGAATGACTCACTTACTCTCATTTTGATTTGTCCAGGAGCATTTTCTTCCATAGAAGATATCCCAGAAAACATTGTACATGATCATGAGAAGAATGGCCTTCCACGCTTGTCCTCCTTCAGTGACTCTGAAATTAAAAAACGGTAAGTGGCCCTGCCAGTGAGTGTGGGAGGGGTTTGAGGTCAGTGGTGTTATGAGCAATCAAGGGTACAGCAGAAGTCTGCATCTGAAACTGAGGGCAGTAGGGTTTCTGCTCCACCACGGGTATTATGGCACTATTCTGTTATCCTCACAGATGTTGCTGTATCTGCCTTCCTACTGGCTTTGAAGGAGAACCAGTGTAATTTGTGATATAGTTAGGTGAGCCAACCAACTCCCTGGGATATAAGGTTTCTGTAATTCATGCCTACCTAGTTGTTAGATAGCTGACCTTCAGAACCGAAGGTTTAATTGGACAACCCATCCTGATATCTCGTGTGGTAAACCTTGCTGCCTACAGGTAAGATTGTCATTGCAGCAGACTTACTTACTGGGATTGAGCTGGTTAGATTTAAAATGTTAGTGCTTCTTAGCCCCAGAATATTTTCCATTCAGCGGAACCACTTTAAGTGCTTCCGGTTATTTTCAGAGCCAAAAATACTCTGCAATAGAACTTCTACATTACTTTGGCTAGATTTTTAACTGTGCCTGCTCTCATCTCCTAGAGCCTATGCCATTATGCATTATATATGCCTGTAAAGGGTGGCAACATGGGGAGAACAGGATACAGGATGACAGTGGACACTTGTAAGCATGTGCTTGCATGAATTTGTGTGCATTACACCATTCTGAAAAGTCAGCCCTTCATACCTGTGTCACGTGTTAGTAGAGCTCAGCCCAAAGGTTTTTGTTGCATGCAGTGGCACAAGGACATTTATCACAGCTGTGCCTGTAGAATTGGGGTCACTTGATTGTGTTGATATTGTGCAAAGGAAAATACAGTCATTGCATTCTTGAGAATGTGAATCTGTTTCCCTCCCTGTGAGCACCCCTGCAGAAAGGAACTGTTCATCTGGGGTAAGCCCTAGTTAGGATATATGAAGTTGAATCCATTATTGCTTGGGTTGCTGCATTTTGCTCAGTATGGAAGCTATGCTGGAGGTGTGTGATATGGGTTTGGTTTGGATCTGAAATTACCAGAGTTTTAGGTGTGAAAAACAGGATGGTGCGGATCTGTTGACTCAGTTTGCTGACCTCTATCTAGCCCTGCCTGGCTAGGAGTAAGACAGAAGTATCTGAAATATGATTCAAGTGGTGTGCAGGCTGAAGAATCCATCCACGTCCAGTCTCTCCATCCTTATTTCAGTGAGGACTGGGCTCTCAATCTCTTTTCTTAGCTATTTTTTGAAATCAACTTTGTTTTCAATTTATTCATCCTACAGATAAACTGACTATAGAATATTACATGTTACAGTTTCACAGTAATAAATTAAATTCTGTTGAAAACTGTGGTCTCATGTTTCACTGGTGCTCTCAGCCATTATTTGAAAGCATGATGAAACATCAAAATAAAATACCATTCTTAACTTCTTTGTACTTAAGCAGCAATTTATCTAACTGCCTGCCACTGAAAAATGCAGCCTTCTATAGGCATTTAGCTGCACTAATGCACTTTTCTACTTTTCTCCTTGTCCTTATGTATCTTGGTTTTTTGAGCTTGATCACATGACATTACAAATATCTTTAACTTGGAGCTCTCAGTGTATTTTGTCTCCTGTTTATTATGGATTGAGATAAGCTAAACTCCTCCAAGTTGAATAAAATGTGAAAACTAGGATTAACCATTTCTTCTTTGTCCTGTATGTAAAAACTGCTAGTAAGAAGACAGAAATTGTATTTAGTCCTATTGATTGTAATATTGAGGCAAGTGCTCTTAAGATTCATGTTGCTGTGTCTGTGGTCAGAGTTCATGTACATTTTGTAAGTATATGCTAAACACTTAATTATTTAATTTTTTTCTTCCTCTGTCTAGACTGAATTTATACTTCAAGTTTTTTATTGTTAGAGATCCATTTGAAAGACTTATTTCTGCGTTTAAGGACAAGTTTGTGCACAATCCTCGGTTTGAACCTTGGTACCGGCATGAAATTGCTCCCGGCATCATTCGTAAGTACAGGAAGAATCGCACAGAGACCAAAGGGCTGCAGTTCGAGGATTTTGTGCGCTACCTGGGGGACCCTAATCACCGATGGCTGGATGTTCAGTTTGGTGACCACATCATTCACTGGGTAACATACGTGGAACTTTGTGCTCCCTGTGAAATCACATACAGTGTGATCGGACACCACGAAACCCTGGAGGACGATGCTCCGTATATCTTGAAAGCAGCTGGCATAGACCACTTGGTATCATACCCCACAATCCCACCAGGCATAACAGTGTACAACAGAACAAAAGTAGAGCGGTATTTTTCAGGAATTAGCAAGAGAGACATAAGACGCCTCTATGCACGATTTGAAGGCGATTTTAAACTCTTTGGTTATCGTGAGCCTGATTTCTTGCTTAACTGACACCTGGGATAAGATCTGAAAAAGTGTCTCATGGATTAATCTAATCCTGTGTGAATACCAGCTGCAACACTGGCAGAGCTGAGAATGACCATTTGTTTTCTAGCTTTTTGATGTTGTTCCACTTTTCAGTGAAATATTTGTCATATGAACAAGTAGGGGCTTATAGTTGTTATTTCCTGACCATGTTTTCAGTACATTATTGCAATCTGTTAGGAATTATGTCTCTGTTATCTAAAATACAGAATTTGACTTCTCCCCTCTTCCCTCCAGGAAAAAAGAGGGAGAACAAATGGGCTATGATCTTCCCCTCCTCCCAGACAGAATGCCATTTTTGAAATACTGTGAAGTATTTGTAAAGATGGCAGTTTCACTGTAGGTTAACCCTGACATGTGGGTAAACATAATGATTCCTGCTTATGAGAAAGTCATGTAGTCTCCCATGAACTTTGTAAATGAGGCCAGTACAAGACTAGAAATTAATTAAATGCTTGACAAATATAACCATCTAGGTTCTGTCATGTGACTGCTACAATAACGCTGATCTAATCCCATTCTTGTTTGTCCAAAAATGAACTTAATTAGACAGAAGCTTTTAGGGATGTAAGAAAATGAACTGGCTCCACATCCCAATTGTGTCTGTATTTTTGTCAAGTGTTTACTGTATTTACTACTGGTGTATTGAGCCTCATAATTCTACTTTTGATTTTCAAGAGATTATTTGACTCCTGGCTATGTAAGTTATGTGAGACCACCAGCTGCAAGTGGAGCATAGAAGAAATATGAAATTGCTAAGAAAACTGTTAAGGAAAATTAATCTAAAGTATGAGTTGTATTTGTGGGAGCAGATATAATAATCACAAGATGCTCTCACGCAATTTAACTTGTCTTTTCTTCTAACAGTTAAGATTAATAAAGAAGGTACAAAAGCAAGATGTCATATTAAAGAGCTGCTTACTTGGATTAAAGATCCACCTTTTTCTTATATCCGGCCTTGCCCAGTTCAGTACCTCAGAGAACAGAGAGTTTGTTCCCTCTGAAAATTCATCTCCCTACTGCTAAAGGAGAGAAGGAGACAAGATGAATCCCCGATTTTTCCAGTGATTTACTGCCATGATGTCTCAAGTCAAAAGTTACTAACATTTATGTTGCTGATGTGGTAAATTGGCTATTTGTCAAAAGTTTAAATGTCACCTAAATTTGTGTACCCATTTTATGCATTAAAAAAAATAACTGAATTGAGTGGATGCAGCCATCATATTTGCTTGTGCTTGTATTATGTCTTATAAAGAGCAGTCTCTTGTCTGAGTTCACCAGCAATAAAAATCAGCGTGCTGCCAGAAGACAGATAGACCAAATATCTGAAATAGAGGAATTGTTCTGTCACAGTGAGCATGTGAACTGGATTTTTTAAATCATAGTCCCAAAAGATTTATTTTCAGATCAGCATAATGTTGCTGGCTAGAAATGCTAATGGAATCTGAGTGCTATGGAATCTGCTTTTAAATCCAGCCACTGTGTGTTTTTGATAGCATTCTGTATTAACACAAGGAAGCATCTTGCACTTGTGTAAAAGGAAAGCTGTGCCAAGCTGACATGTGCTGCTACCCACAAACGGGAAGCCCTGTTGTAGGTGGAAATTATTTCAGAAAGATCTCAACAGATGAACTGAAATAAAAGAAAATCATTAACTGAGCATTGTTAGCAAGAGAATGATCCAGGGTGGCAAAGTTGGAAGGTAGGATATTTTTTCAAGTTGGTTTGTTTTGGTTTTTTTAACAACAATTACAGTGCCCTAACTTGTTAGCTCTTAACCAATTATAAGAAGATGTTAACAGCTCCAGGTTTTTCTGTGGTTTTCTTAATATGGAAACTTAGCAAAATGCACTGAGAAAGGCATTTTGGAGCTAATAACCTGATTGATTACCTTGCTGCCAATTTGAAATGTAACAGTGAATAATGTGTAGTAAATTGAGGCCTTAAAGTTTAATAAAGTAGAATTGTTTTCCTCTGAAAGTATAAGCTACTGATCGCACAGAAGGCCAATGTATGTTTTTCTTTTTCTTGGTAAGTTACTTAATGTATTGCCTGCTTAAAAATTGCCAGATGAAAAGTGCTACATAAATATTAAGTAATAATATTTTCTTCTGATAACTTTCTCTGCATTGAGTTCTTAGCTCTGAACAGAGTTATGGACTGACCTAGGCAGAGGTGTATAATCTTGTCCCAACTCTGTGTTCCCATGCTTTTCAGGCTGGAACTGGAATGCATGTTACCATTTCTTCAATTCAAATGAAGCTTCTCCTTTCAGTTATATGTTCCTGAGCTATATTTTCTTTCTAGAAGTGTGGGTTTTTTTCTTTTTCCTTTCATGGCTGAAGTAACAATGGTGCAATTTTGGCACATCTCTTGAGGAAACTTGTATACTGTGATGGTCCTTGGCAGGGTGTAGTAGGGGCTCTCCTTAAATTGGTGCGGTGCAGGCAGGACAGTCAGAATGTGCTGTGTTAGGGAGGAGGCTCTTGCCACACCAGTCATGATAAATTAAATGCTTGTGGTTTGCTTTAGCTTGATTGTACTCTGCACAAGGCTTTTACAAATGTACTCTCAGTGGCATGCACAAACATCATTTGGCTGTTCAGATGTTATTTGCATACCACTTTCAAACTGCAGATGATACTTATGTCATATTTTTGGAACTGCTGGCCCAGGTTATTCTTTCTCCTTTCTTATTATTGTTGTTACAGTTTCAGAAAACAAATTCCCAACCTTACTTTGTGCATCTGTGTCTCTTTGTTGTCTCTCCTCAGCAGCTTTTGAATCCTTTGGCCCATTGAATTCTTGGTCCAGATTTTGCAAAGGAAACTCAGGGGGGAGTGAGTTGAAGTAATTTTCTTGAAAATAGGAGGAAAAACACTCCTGGTTTCTAATGGACTCCCTTCCCAAGTGCTCCCTACAGTATGGCCTCTTATCTCAGCTAACAAAGACAAAAAGTAAATTCAGCTGTAGTGCACGGGTCTGTTATTGTCATATTCCTAATAAAATTGAGCTGACTGGGTTTTTTGAGATCTTGGGAGTAAGAGGGTTTGTCTTGTGAAAAGGGATTCAGAATTTATTTGCTTGTGAAATAACTTTATGATAATGCCTATCCCCTTTCCTTTTAACTTCAGCACACAGCTCATTGTCACTGCTGTGCTTTCTGATTGCGTGCCATGAAGATGTTTTTCTGTAGTTAAAAATACATGTGCTTTTTTTTTTTTATTTTGGGAACTGTTCTGTCAAAGAAAATGTCTTGAAAATATGAATTCTTCCCAAAAAAGCATGTTGTTTTGTGATTCATGCGCAAATGCTGCTGTGTTTGTACTGGGGGTAAGGCTCCCTGCTGTTCCGTTGTGTCTCCATCCTTAGATTAGGGAAGCCATCAGACAGCTCTGGTTTTTGTGCAACATCACTTTTTCCTTGAGGTGTTAATAACTTTGTTGGCTGGGAAAGCAGCCTTTGATCTTATCTGTGCTCCAGAAAGTTTGCTGAGAAAAAGAGTGATTATATAGGGATTGCTTAAGCTTATTTTCTCAGATGAAAAAGGATGTCTTTTCAGTGTACCTGCCTGTATCTGCTATCTCTTAATTGACAGAGAGAGGGAGAATGATGTTTCTGCTTAATGACCTTGTATTGATTTATGCTAAGCCCCCATCCTATTTTTTGTTATAGCAACATGAAGGGACCTGGACTGAGGTGTAAAGTCAACATGTGCTTATTTGAAATGTGAGGGTGCAGATGAAATTTGAAAAGGGAGCTGGTTGCTGGAGATTTATCGTGTCCAATTTTTTGTTACATGTCATCTACAGAGCTGGTGTGCATTCTTTGTGGTCTGTGCTTGACAAGATTTATGCAAGGTAGAAAGAGGCTTGTGGGTGGTGGAAAATTCCCTTTCTGCTGAAGTTAGCTGTGCGTGTTCCTGGGCTACTGCTGTGGGGAAGGTTTTAGAAGGAAATGATCCTATTAGCAGCAAAGCCTGCAGTGCTTGGGCTGCTGAACGGAGTGCCTCCTTCCTGGAGGAGGAGTGACTTTGGCTCCTAGTGATGTGTGCAGCCAGCTTTGGTGCTGCCTTGTATAAATCTCTATTTTTGTGTGTTTAATGCAGTTGTGTGCAGCTGAGCTGTCAGCTTGGTTTCCTGCGTGTGGCAGTAGCCTGAGGTGACTCATCTCTTTGCCATCAGAGTGGCTTTGAAAGGCCTGCAGCCTGTTTTGCTATGCAGCAGGAGACATTTCCCTTATGAAGAGAGCAGCATTAAGCCTGCAGCCATGCAGCCAGTGGCAACTGGCTGGTGTAAGCACGAAAATGGTGCTGTTTGGGGCTTCCTGATGAAAAATCATCATTTTCCCTTTTAATCCAGGCAGGAGTGAAAGAGAACAAAGATGCGTGTTTGCTTTGAGTCACGAAAAGGAACCATGCTGTTAGAAATTCCAGACTGGTAAACCCAAGTAGGGCAAAGTCTGGGACAGCAATGCTGAACAAAAACATGGGCAGTTTTTCTAAGGTCCCCGGAGATGCTGAACATGTTGAAGGAGAGTTGCTGAAGCTTCCTGGGAGCTGCCAGAGGAGCAGATGCTGATGGGACAGCATGCACATGGCAGGCTGACAGTGTGAAGCATCCACTGTGGGTATCTGTTTGAAATCACAGAAAGGAGGAAAGAAAAAGAAAAGGTGGGAAGGAAATCATGGAAAAATAATCCTGAAGGCGGCACCCCTGGAAATGCAGTACCCAGTCTTACTGCCAAAAACATGCCAACTGCCCTGGATGTGCACAAATCATTTCTGAGCAGTTTGCAGGACCAAAGCAAATCTGCATGTGGAAAGGTAAACCACGATCATAGGGCATCTATACGTGTTCTGGAAAGTGATTTAATACTGAGAAGCTAGCCAAGGCTCCCAGTTGTGCCTAAGTAAGTGGATCTCATCTAGGAAAATGCATAGCTGTAGTGAAAGCATACAAGTAGAAAAAGCTCTTGGGGGATAATTAGCTCTCTCAACAACCAAGTGTCAGGCACCTGCTGTGATTTAAGAAATAGGAACATTTTCTCTTGAACATCTTTTTTTTCCTGTTCTCTGCAGCCTGTCTGTTCTCTTCAGTTTTCTTTCCTGTGTCCTGAGAGGTCTTTGGATGATACACTGCAGTAGGACACATCATTGTTTTCTTGTCAGAAGGGTGGAAGAGGCTATAGGAAATACAAAATATTCTCCATAATTTTGAGAAACACAAGAAAAATACAGGCAGTTTTTATCAATCATGAATGAACTTCTGTGGTGACTGAAACATTAAGATTGCATGGGTTGCTTCTTAGATGTTTCACGTGTTGGAGAGAAATCTACTTAGGGAGAAAATACCACTGTTCTGTATTTGCCATCTTTGTTATGTTTTGAATAACTCTCAGTAAGGTTTTAAAGCAAGTAAAATTTGAAGTTTCCAATACCACAAAGCTTCAGTTTGGATCCACTTATTTTGCTCTCATTCCCCTGTAAGTATTTTGTTAAGAGTACAGAATTTGCCCTTGCTCAGTTTCTTTGATTTCTGACTGTTATTTGCAATGCTGTAGCACTTGTACTTGTGAAAAGGGAATGATCAAGAAGAGTCAGAAATACTCTGGAGAGAACAGGACTCCAAAGCAGACCTTTATTTGTATGCTGCTTCCATCTACAGCATCTGCTTTCATTATCTTTTCAGTCTAGTTCTTTGCTGTAAAACCCATTGGGGTACATATTTTTGGTTAAAGCTACAGATTTCAAAATATAAGAGGAAAGGGATTAGGAACAGTGTTGCAGCAGGAAAGAAAGAAACTGCATGAGGAAAGGGCTTCCACACCCTCTTTCACAGTTCCAAACCTTTAGCTCCATCTTGTATGCTCTTGTTTGGCAGCTTTCAGGACATAGGTTCTTGGCCTTACAGGAAGCATGGTGTGTAGTGTAGCTGCATTTCTCAGTGTCTCTGCATTGAGTTCTGAGCTCTGAACAGATTTATAGACATTTGGTGGCATGCTTGCACACACTTGCTCTTCTCTGATGGAATCAGGGCACATTCTCATAGGTGAGACCTTTGTTCCATCAAGTGTTACAGTACTGCATAGCAAAGATGGAGCAAAGGTGTTATTTCCCCTTTCTGAGCAGTAACAGCGTGTTCCTTAATTCTCTTGACTACCAGATAGTATAAACATGATTTCACTTTTCTGGAAGATGACCAGTGATAACAGCAGTGTTTTTAATCTTAGCAGGCTGTTTAAATGCATCTCTGTGTGACAGTAAGGTACTGCAGTAAATTGTAATTGGTTTTTGTGGGTTTAGAGTTGACTTAATAGATCATTGGAAATGCCATTATGACGGAAAACAACTTAGGTGCATTGCTTCTGTCTCCATGTAAGGATCTGTCATATGATTGCTTACCAGTCAGAGGAAAATAACTTCATAGATGGCGATGCTTTTTTATTGTAATCCTCTTACTTGTGGATTTGGATCTTAAAATACAGCATGGTAGATTTGTCTTGTGTACTCCTGTCCTGTTCTAAAGTAGTATTGGCAAAAATTTCATACCTCTGTTATTTTGGGAACTCTTTTCTGCAGCTTCTAGTTGAAACTGTTTCAGGTTTAAGCACTTTGCATTGGAAAGTGTGTAATTGGACTGTGGGTGCTCCAGAAGGACAGTCTGAAGGTTTTTTGAAGAACTAGAAACCAGCACTGTAACATGGCTGTGAGAAAGCTACCACCTGATTCTGCATGCATCCAGGTAAGTATTTCTGGTAAGTATTATTGGCTATGCTACTGAGAGGCCAATAGATATGAGTATTGTGACTCAGGCTGTGGAGAGGCCTTGCCTTGACCCCATTTCCAGTTCTTGTCAGCTGTGACTCTGAGGAGCTGGTGGAGTTGCAGAGCTGCTGGTGTTTGAATGTCTGGAACTTGTTCAGCCTGGGAAAGGAGAAGGGGTGTAACAGGTGTCTAAACTTGTACTGGGACAAATGAAGGAGCGAGAGAATCTCACATCAGAGAAGGAGGGGAGCCAGAACACAATGCAGTCACAGAGGCAAACCAGTCTGAGTTGGCCAGGAGCTAGCTGAGGCTGGAAAATAGGAGGAGATTTCCTACCCTCAGGCTGTGTGTTTTAATTTTGGTATATACAAAAGGAGCAAAATAATAACAGGCTGCTATGCCACTGCCTGTTCAAGCAGCAGAGACCTTGACTTTGTAGACTTGTTTAGGTTGGAAAAGACCTCTAAAGTCATGGAGTCCAGCCATTAACCTAACACTGCCAGGTCACCACTAAACCATGTTTATGAGTGCCACAGCTACACATCTTTTAAATACTTTGAGAGATGGTGACTCTACTGTTTTTTTGGGCAGCTGGTTCCAGTTCTTGACAACCATTTCAGTGAAGAATTCTTTTCCTAAAATTCATTGTAAACCTGTGTCATGACTTGAGGCCATTTTCTCTTGTTCTCATTTGTTACATGGGAGAAGAGACACGTGCCCAGCTGGCTACAACCTTTTCAGGTAGGTGTAGAGAGCAAGATGGTCTCTCTAACACCAGCTCCCAGCTATCCTCCAGGTCCCATCTCTTAGACCAGTGAGCTGTGGCTGTGAAGACAGCAGGGCTGGTGCCTGAGTGCTGGGTAGTCTGACTGGGAGAAGAAAGATCCACAGAGGTAAGGTTTTGCAATGCCACATAGATTCAGCTCAATCTTGTATGCCATGGCATGGGTTATATATATCTGGGGAGATGT